TCGATCGATCGTAGGTACTGCCGAATACTCAGACGAGCATTCAAGTATGCGGTGTTTATATCTCCACCAAACACACTCAGTCCCAGCTCCGCTGCTATCGCCAGCAGCAGTCGGAACGACGACATCCTAGCAACGGGGGCGAACGTCTCACGAAAGTCAATCCCGGGTCGCTGGTAATTGCCCAGTGCAACAATGCGAGCCTTGAAGCGGATCACATATCCTTGGTGGTCCGTCTTCAAGTCATACATCCACATCGTATTCACCAGCAGTGCATCCTCGGGCATCTCTTCGCCAGGAATCTCCATGATAACACCTTTGGCTTTCAGCGCTGCAATCTCCTCCATTTCGCCCATCAGAAAGAACTCTCGCCACTTAGAACGCATCATCTCACGGTGGTTCCGAGGAATCTTCACATTACTTGCTCTTATGGGTCGTCCATTCTTGTCCAGAGTACGCGAGGTATTGAGCGCAGCGTTCATCACATAGTCCTTCAAGTAGCTGGGACGGCGACGCTCGTCGTACTCGCGAAGACCGGTGCGTGTCTTCTTCACATCTGTCTTTGCTGCATCTCGCTCGACGCGCACCTCTTCCGACGGAGTTTCGTCACGATGCGACCGCTTCCCGATATTCATCGGCAGGGTCGGTGGGAACATCACACTAGCGTCAATAATCTCGCCAGCCGCTGCATGACCACTCGAATGCACCCTCTTGACCGATTCGGTCTCACCGAAGTCCTCTTGCAGTGACTGCGTGTGCGACAGATTTGCATCTCCCTCGTGTTCGTCCGGAGCCAAGACACTTGCCACAGTAACATCATCACCATTGAGAATTTCATCATCTTCCTCTTCCTCAGCATCACTATGCGCTCCTCCTACCAGCGATGACCCACACGTTCCGGTTACCGACACGGCGTCGTCACCCCCACCAGCACCGTCGTCTTCTTCAGCAGCGTCCTCACCGCTGTCAGTGACTTTCTCATCATCGTTCGATGAGTCGCAAGCGTACGGATTCCACACTTGCCTCCATCGAGGCGCTCGTCAGTGCCGCCAGTCTCGTCGGTACCACCACTGTTGTCCTGCTGCTCTTCATTCACTGACTCTTCATCAACAACAGCTTGGCTTTCATCTCCCGCCTCGAGAATAACATTCTCGTTAACGGCGTCCTCAAAAGTAGACTGCATTTCACCGCTTTGCTCTAGTCCCGCCACTACTGTACTCGCCCGTGTAGCCATGTTCGTATTTGAAGCCTGATCGGCATCACCAATATCACTTCCGTCGGTGTCACTGGCGTCAGTCACCGTGCGCCTGACGAAGTGCAGCGACTCCAAGTCCTCGTCATCCACGTCCACTTCGTAGCGATCACGGTACATGCCGTCCTCAGCCACTCTCAGATTTGGAACAAACTTAGCAGTGTGCTCGTCAGGAAAATAGACCTTACATCCGATCACGTCTTCTGCATACCCGAGCACAAAGCCAATTCTAGCGTTAGTGTGGTGCTTGTTCCGCTGAGGAGACACCGGCACGTGTACATAAGCCAGTGCACCAAACTTCCGGATAGTGCACGTCCGGCTGAATCCCAAACATCATCTCGTAAGGAACACCGCCTGTGCCCTTATTGTACACACGATTCTTCACGTACACCGCGTTTCGCAGTGCTTCCGGCCATAGGCTCCGGGGGAAGCCTGCTTGCGCCATCGTCGCCTTCGCCATGCCATCCAGCGACTGATGAGTCCGCTCGCACAAGTTGAGTTGTGAGGATTTAGGGCCGACTTTCGCATGTTCAATCCCTTGCGAATCGTACCAGGTTGTCACTTCATCGTTGAAAAACTCCCCGCCCTTATCCGTCAGCTCTTACTGCACTTTGTACAACGCACCCCTGACATTACGACCCGCCTGCCGCTCGGCCCAGAGAACATACTCCTTCATGAGTCTGTTGATCACAGGACTTTGCTTGTCACTAAGCAGGTGTACCGTGACGAAGCGAGAGTATCCGTCCATAATGATCAGCACGGCCTTATACCGTGTACCGCAGTCTTTACTGGGGATTAGGAGGTCAGCGTACACAACCTGGTTCGGCTCCTTGGTTGCCCGATCCCAATTCTTCCTGTACGTCTTCCTCTTCTGTTTGCCCAGATGACATGCATCGCATGTGTCCTCTTTCCGCTGAGTCAGCAGCATCCCACGCACTAGACCTTTGACCACCATGGTCTTCAAATATTGTGGACAAGTGTGGCACAGACGCTCGTGCCAAAGTGCCAGTGAGCCGACTCCCTCTGCAGCAGTGTAGTTGCACAGAGCACGATCCTGAGGGGTGAAGTGCTCTCGCTCACCAGGGCCAACCACCTGGAGCCCCCAAGTAGATTCCTGCGGAGTAGCGACAGCCACTGCTCTCCCCTCTCTTAAGACGACGAAGCTTCGAGTTGCAATGTCATAGTCAAACTCAAATCCTTGAGCGTACGCCAGTCCCGGTGAAAACAGTCCATACTCAGCTCCAGGGATGAAAAACACATCGTCCAGAAAATACAACTTGTTCACCACCGACTTCTGTGGCCAATGCCACCGTTCCTACGCCCGCAATGCGTGAAGCAATAGTTGGAGTCACTCCACGGACAGTTCGTATGCCCGCCGTGTCAGCCGTGAACGACACAAAGTCCGAGCGATTCCCCGTCACATGTGAGTTTGACGCAGTGTTGAAGAACCACCACCCACTGCCGTAGTCCGCAGCACCTTGATCACTGTCCTCCAGTAGTACCTCAGTACCTTCTGCACCGTGATCACTAAGTAGTTCCTCCTCACCATGTGGTTCTACGTGCTCGTCATGTACATTTCGTAGCTCCTCGTGCATCTCTGGCTGCTCCTCCGCCACTAACCCCGTCACAGCACCAGGATCCGCATCATCCTGCGTCGGACTCGATGAAACACCACTCTCCTGGCGCAGGGTACAATTTCCCCGCGATTTTCGCTTCTGCTCAAAGTCATCAGCACCGCTTTGCTTCTTCGTCCTCTCCGGGCAATTTGCCTTGAGATGTTTATCACTCCCGCAGACATAACATAGCCGCGTCTTCTTCGACCCACTAGTCCTGCTCTGCTCACCTCCTTTGCCACTTCCATCTCGTTGCCCACCATGGCCCCCTTGCTTCTCACTACGCTTGCCTCTGAGCTCTTTCTGTCGAGCGGCCGCAGCAAGAATCAATTCTCGAACCCGCTTCGGTGTGTACACGCTCGGGTCCGCGCCGTAGTAAATGGAAGACTTCAACCGCTCAAACTCAATCTGGTCCGGCAAACTCTCAAGCAGCATATCCACCATTGTATTATCGGCGATAACATGCTGCAAGTCCGCCAACTCGGTCTTGAGGTTGAACATCCTGCAAAGATGGAGGTTCGTGTCTCCTCCAGGCGTCAGCTTCATGCTCCACATCTCGTTCTCCACGCGACGAATCGAGTAGGCCTTGATGGCTTCATTCTGCTTGCCCTCGTACAGGTTGCAGAGCTCCGCCCACATCTCCGATCCGGTCTCCTTGTCGCGTATCTGCTGAAGAACGTCCGGCGGCACGGACGTACCCACCATACGCATGATCTTGAGCTGCGCTGCGTCGAAAGCCTCCAGCCTCTCCGCACTCGCAGTCGCGAGCATCGCCCTGGTCAGGTCTCCGACCGCGATCTCCTTGAGGTTGTTCTCCTTGAACACGTTCATCATGGCCCACTTGTACGTCTGCCAATCCTTGCCGCTCCAGTTCTTCGGCACCCCTTCGTTCGTGTACTTCAGGGGCTTCGACATCCCCGAGTAGCTGCCGCCGGCAGCGTGCTTTGGGCTCATAACCCTAATGGAACCTGCACCGGATCCGAGCAGCTAACGCTCCATCAATTCAGTCTTCATTTTATCCTTCGTAGGCACAAGGTGCTTGCTTCATGGGCAGGAGAGTGCGTCTTGAACAGGAGGCTGCGTCTTGAGCGGGAGGCTGTAGATCTTCGAATGAGCACTAGAGGAAGTTGTGCGGTCCAGAAAAATGGGCGGGAGATTCGCAATTCAAACGATCGGATTTACAAGGTATCGTTCTGAACAGGATGCAATCTGATTGGCTAGGTGCGTTATTTTCCGCTCAGAGGTAGTATGGAGATCCCATTCCGATCAGTTTCTATATTCCTTCATAAATGATTTGGGTCACTTTTAATTTCCTCATATTTTATGTTAGTGTCATACTTAGTATATGGATTCTACGGGAGGGTGTTCATTATTTCACCGTAGCGCTGGAATGGTAGCGATGGCCATGGAACGTGAGCTCTACCCGGCGCCGAAGCACACGTACTCGAGCGTCCTCGGTTAGAGCAACGACGCGCAGGGTAGGTGACGGCTGTGCCGCAACTTGACGTCAATGGTTGTTTGAGGGACTGGAATTACTAGAGATGCCCTCTGCTTTGTCTGATCGACAGCTGAGTACAACTTCACTGCGTCGTTCAATTTCAAAGTGATTAAACCTACCATTCGAGCTTAGTAGTGATAGCTCATATGCGGAAGCACTGGGTCGAGCGACTCGAGGCATGGGGCCGATCAAATATTCCTGCAACCTGATTGGCTAAGATAATATCGATTACTCGAAATTTTGGCTCGCAAACGGTCGAGGAGCATAACTGCAGGCTCCACTATTTGATCGCTTCGATCCTTTGTCCCATCCATGGTGCAGGTGCTTTCGTGCAGATTCTTGCGTCTGGAGTGCAGCGGGGAGGACCACCCGCTCTTCAGACGCGAATACGCCAGGTACAGTGCATCGGCAGCGCAAGATGACCAACACTTGGTCAGTCGATCGTCTTTACAGTTGATTTGACTTGTCCTCCATTTTCCTCCTCCCTTCTCCCCCCGCAGGAGCAACCGCGAGCGAGGCGTCAAGGTGCGCGTCCAGACACTCCGCAGTCTATCCACTAACTACTCGTACCTCTTGTAAGATAATCTTCCGTTGCACTCGTCTCACGGGATGACTGTCTATTACGTTACCCTCGGCTCAGCTGCTGCGGTGCTTCCCTCACTGCTGCCCAGAGCACGTCAAGCGCAGCTACTGCGGATGCTCCGTGCACGTGTTGGTCACCTTCTCGGCGGGCGTGAGCGGTGCGGAGCTAGGAGGCATCGCCGTCTGCGCTCGCTTCGAGCCGTCGCGGGTCGCGCCGATCTGGCCGGCAGGTGTGGCTGAGCTCGCTCGTTATGTCGGTGCCGCAGAGAACGACGAGGACGAGAGCAAGCGGAAGGACGAGAGAGGACTGGACATCGGCGAGACTGTCGCGCTGCCGACCAGCTTGTTCGCTTCTGCTGCTGATGCAGACGAGTCGACGGCGACTTGCTCTGGCTGGCTGCGCGCGACTAGAGAGACCAACGAGCGGCATCGCGCGTTTCCCAAGGTGCGTGACGAACCAATTCGACAGTGAACGAGCCAAGGGGAGCTAACGTAGTTTGCGTTGTTTGGCGTGTTGTTGTATGCTGGAAGAATACTGCTCTCTACGTTTTCAACCGAGGTCGATCCCCCAAGTGGATGTACAGCTACGACAGCAGCGTGACGCGCGCACAGCGCGAGATGACGCACCATCTCGTTGTGTATGCATTCCTCCCGCGGCCAACAGTAAATACGAGTGGAGAACAACAGTATCAGACGGACAGCAGCAACGCAGTCGTTTTGGCGCGGCATGCGTCGCCAGCCTTTCTGCTCGTGTCGTATCGCCGAGCTCGCACGCGTCGTGGCTGTCAAGATGGAGCAATAAACGCCTCCATAGATAACGCAAGCGGCGCGTTATCTGGTGTGCAGAGGAAGCCTACAGCCCAACAGAATTCGTCACGGAAGCGACAACAACCACAGCAGTACGAGGCGGAGTTAAGTGGTGACATCCAGTGGGATCAGTATGTACCTGCAGAAATACGTGGACGTGACGCTATTGGTTTTGAGGCTATTGACGACGAGTCCAGTATGTGGCAGGTGGAGGCTGACCTGCACACCCCTGGGTTTCTCGACAAAGCCCGGCATTTGCTTATCTTATGGCAGTTTCAGCAACGTATATCCCTCGAGGATGTCGGGTTTAGAGGTGGTGGTGTCGAGAGCTGCGTACGTTCACACTGGTTGGAGCTGGTTGCTGCTCTTCGAACATCACCGCCGAGGATCAGCACGGAAGTTATCATGGAATCATTTCTTATCGATATCTTCGAACAAACGTCCATTTGGAGGTCGTCTGGAGAAAGGAGTGACGTATTGAACCGTGAGAAGACTGCAGTTCAAGTAGCAGCTAAGCTGTTCCTCCGCGGGTTGTTTTCTGGTCGTGTTAAGGACCTCTTCCGCTCTGCAATTCAGGTAGAAGCGACAACGGCGAGCACAAGGCAGCTGCACGACTGTTTTGTATCGCTCGTGTTGGAACTCTACAACTATATATGCTGTGTGCTCGAAGGGATGACAGTGGGTAGTAATGGAGCTGAGCCCGAGCGCAGCGATGCGTCCTTAATGGCACTGCTGGACGACATCCTGTCTCTCGTCTATGGTTGCGCACGTTTCGGAGAGCTTCGAAGGAGGATTTCAGCTCTGCTAATGGACACGAGCACTCCGGCATCACTGACAGCTACGTTGAATCGAGTGTTTCAAGAATTCACAGGTCACGTGTATAGGGCCACGACAGCAAGCGCAGTATCAACAATTAGGAGTCACCAACTCGCGACCAGACGCAAACACAACACTGTGCAGAGTTCTTGGAGTCGTCGGTGGCTCCTGGAGCCAGGCTCAGTGGAAATTGTTGATCTTCGGACAAACAATCACGACGATCACGTTGCCCTACGGCTGGTCGACGTTGCTCAAGTTCTCTGCGAGTTTGGCTGCGTCGATGTGGCGGCTGACGCGGAGATGTTCTCCGTGCTCCTACACACTGGGGTGTTGTTCTCCGAGAACGAGTCAGCTATGTGCACGGAGATAATCCTTGACGGACAGCGCCACATCAACTGCGGACAATCAAGCGCTCTTCTTTCCATACTTGCCGGGAGACGGTGTGCCGGTGAATACGCTGGCTCGTTATCGGACGACGGGCGGTCGCTACACTTGGATTACTTCTACCAAGAAGATGAGCACCAGAGCAATGCTGAAGGCGCATGTGCCTCAGCGGCTGGCTTGGGGAAGGAGACCCGAGGCACTGAAGGAGCCATCAATGGAGCGACGATGGTACGCCAGGTCAAAATAACGCTGTCACTGGACCACGAGCCGAGCTGTGAGGCCCGCAACGACGACCGAGATCTCCTGATGTTTGTGCACGCAGTGACTTCTGTTGCGGCCATCTGTCCGACTACAGACTCTGACGGTCGGTTATTGAAGCTGTCCTCTTCGGACCGAGCTGCGCTAGAGTGGACGCAAGTGACGGAGCTGCAAGCAGGGTACGTTGCGGTCTCGTAGTCGTGATTAAGTATTTTTTAGTGAGTACGTGCACATGTAGACGAATCGAAGTGATGGTTAGGATTTGCTTCGAAACGGATGAGACGATAGGTCTCGCTACGGTGGGTCAGAGATTCTCCTATGCTTGGCGGAGAGCATCAAACCAGTGGCATTCGCATTCGAGAGCAAGGCAGTAGCGAACATCAGACTGGTGGTTAGAAGTAACTAACCGTTCGCTCGATGAATTCAGCGCCTGATCGACGAGAGGAACGCCTGTCTGTAAATCGTCTGGGTGTGCTAAACCCAGCTCCCTGCGGACGCTCGCGATGTCCTCCAGCCCCCGCCATTCCCCGCGTGAAACACAGGTTTCTACGATTGCGCGCCCTCATCGACCGGTGGCCCGCAATAATTGCTGTGGCTTCCTTACGGCCCCGCTTCGTTGCCGTGCTGGATAAACTACAATGTCAATCTAATGGTGTACCAGGAACATCAAGGTACTTTGTTAGGGTCTGTTGGTACGACCAACTTGGTAGGCTGCCGGTAGCGCTGCAATTTCAACTTGCCGAAAGAGAAGTTGGTGAAGAGCATCGATAGCGCATCGAAGGGGCATTCTGTGGAGGCTTGTCGAGGCTTTTGTGCTGCTGATCCGAACTAAAGCTACATGCACTGTGGATGCCCTCTCTCGACGGAAAGGAGTGTTCTTCCTCTGAGCGCAACACAGCCTGCACTCGATCGAGTAATCGAGTCTGTGGTGGTCGGCGAGTTTTGCTAGACCTGCAGCCGCCCTAGCAAGAGGCAGTAGACATCACACGGTTTGCGAGAGGGTATCGCTATCATGAATTCCGTGATGGTTTCAGGGTGAAAAGGACGATCGCGATTGAACTAAGTGGGGCATTGCACAGGTAAACTTAGCACCAAAGAGCAGCATCCTGTTTCGGGAACTCTGGGCCGTGCCGTTCGACGGTATGTGCGAGAGCACTTGATCGATTTGGTCGGAAATTACCCTTGACTACATTGCTTACCGGTATCTATTCGATTGCTGCAATACACAATCGAGCAAAGTGCGGTCAATATCACGCAGTTAATCCGCGAGTTCGACTGCGTCGATGAAGGCTGGCGATAACGCGAATGCTTCGGCAACGTATGCACCCCCATACGCAGGGCAGGGAACGCGTGGTAACTTCTTATTGGGGATCGAGCTTCGGTGCATGGGTCGCTGAAGCGTATCCTGCTATTACAAGCGCTCAATACGTTGCTAACGCGTACACTATCAGCATTCGAGCTAGTCTCATTAGCCTACCAACGGCCACTCAAGTTGGCCTAGTAAGAATCGACGGCGACACGTTTCAGACAACTTCTTGTCATCGCCGTGAAGCGAAATGATTCTCGATGCTGGTACGGGCGTGTGATGCCGGACTCGTTCAATGAAGTCTTGGTCCGCCCTGCACCGAGCTTGCAAGTCAAACGACGAAAAATCGCGCCGGCGGTCTTGTATCCACAGTATCGCCCACCAAAACGCCAGCGTCGCTACGATCGTTCATATATTTTTTAGTTCTTGGCTGCCAGGCACTGTCCGGCGGTTCACTCCGCCTCTCGTTTTCGACGCTCAGGCGCGCCAGGCTTCACCATCACCGAACAAAATTCCGAGTAAACTTTACTGCACAATCGTGTCGGAGTTGAATCAGACGCCCTTGACAGAATGAGGCTCGCCGGCCAGTGCCAAGCTGAGACTTTCCATCCAAGACGTGCGTGAATATTTATCAACGCAGTGGCGACAATCCGTAGTCGTCCATCTCGGGGGGTGGGCGTGGCTTCCTGGCAGTGGAATGGATCGCGAGTTGGCTTGGGCTCCCCCCGACCTCAGTTTCAAATTTGAACGCTAACCACGATTCCTTCTCTCCTCCGTCGACGCGCTCGACCGTCTCGCCTCCCCGGCTGAAAGCTCGGACAGCCATGGCCTCCCCTGCACTTGTGACGCTGCTGCACCTGACGACGGCCGCCATCCAGATCGGCATGAACCTGAGTCCGGCGCCGGACATGCTGCGCGTCCACCGACTCCAGACGACGGGGCAAATGGCGCTGCTCCCGCTCGTGCTCATGTGCTTCAACAACTGGCTCTGGTTGCTCTACGGGCTGCTCACGGGGAGTATCTTCCCGCTGTGCGCCGCGGCGCTGGCTGGCGAGATCGCGGGGCTGATCTTCACGGCCGTCTACTACCGCTGGGCTCGCAACACGCTGGAGGCGCGCCGGACCTGCGGCACCGCCTTCCTCGGGATGGCACTCGTCACGCTGTACGTGCTGCTTGGGGTCGCCGGCAAGACGGGTCAAACGTTCGACCAACTCGTGCAGACGCTGGGCTACGTGGGCGCGGCCATCAACATCTCCATGTACGCGTCGCCGCTGGCCACCATCAAGGTGGTGCTGGAGACCAAGTCGTCGGCGTCGCTGCCTATCAACCTGTGCTGCATGATCTGCCTCAACTGCTGCATGTGGGTGGCCACGTCCAGCGTGGACGGCGACATGTTCGTGCTCATCCCAAGCGTCATCGGCCTCGTGTTCAGCGGTGTGCAGCTCCCGTTGTACTTCATCTACCGCCCCACGAACCCCTACATGGACCTGGATGCCCAGCTGGAAGAAGGCTACGGCGCCACGGCCCCCAAGACTATCGACAGTGTCCACATCGACACGGACAGCGTGTTGCCCGCCACCTACCGCGTCGTGCGCCCGTCGCGCGTGGCGCGCCTGGCAGGCTACAAGTACCAGCGCGCGGAAGGAACGCCGCTGGCGATGTCCTTCTCGGGTACGGAGAAGAGCCCGCGGGTGTTTGGCGAGCCCTCGCCGTTCCCTACGCCAGGCTCGCTGCGCTACTCGTCGGCCGCGGACGAGCTCAGCGACCTCGAGATGCAGCCGATGGCCATGACCCCCATCGCAGCCTAAAGAGATGAAAACAAAAAATAGGGGCAGCCATGCCATCAACCAGTCGATCCTGAACTTCGAGGTTGAAGCATTCTTACGACTGTCAAAAACAAAAGAGGGGCAACAAATACGAAAGTACACTGTAATGTTCGTTTTGTATGGAGCTCCTCCCTTCATCACATTGTGGGATTGTACAGGTGGTCAATGGCGTTCTTCCCATCCGATCGATTACGACGGCCCTACCAATGCCAACAAGTCGGTTAAACCGCTCGTGCCCCTTCATCCCTTCATTCTTCAATCTGCCGAGCGCTGCAAACTTCTCATATATCGCTCTCGACTAGTGAAAAATGACTAGCACCGCGGTGCTCGTGATCAAGACGATGGCCGCGTGCACGGGCATGATCATGATCCTCAGCCCCTCCATCCTCATCTACCGAGTCTTCAAGACGAAGGACGTCGGCGTGGCATCCGTGATCCCGCTCGTCACGCTCTTCTCCAATTGCCATGCTTGGGCAGTGTGGGGATACATGATAGAGAACTGGTTCCCAATTTTCTGGATCTACGTCGTCGGAGACGTCATCGCGTTGGTCTTCCTCTCAGTGTACTGGAAGTACACCAAGCAGCGCCGCTACGTGAACCGAGTGCTGACGATAATGGCGGCCATCCAGGCAGTCGTCACCATCTACGCGATTATCGGCGGCTTCGGCTACACGAACCAGTCGAGAGACAGCATGAGCACCGTCCTGGGGCTTGTCGCCGACGTGACCGCTATTTGCATGTACGCCGCTCCAATGGAGAAGTTGCTGCAAGTGCTCAAGTACAGGTCGGCGGCTTTTATCAACGCGCACATGGTGATCGCCGGACTTACGAACAACTGCCTCTGGTTCACGTACGGTGTGCTCACGGACAACTGGTTCATCATCTCGCCCAACATCATCTTCATCTCGCTCAACACGTTCTCGCTGGTGCTTTGCGTTGTGTTCGACCCCAAGACACACCCACTACCTGAAGATTTCCACGTCCAAGGCGACAACGAGGGTGAAGTTATGTCGAGCTGCAAAGGAGACAGCACGCTTCCAAGTCCGGCGTTTGAAGCCATGCATTCTCCGCTGGAGTGCATCCAAGTAAGCACCACCGGTCAGCAGCTTCGATAGATAAGCAAACAGCAAGGCCAGTTACGGGTGAAGGGTGGAGGTGAAAGTAAAAGCTCAAGACAAACAGTGATGTATCGTATCAACCGACGTACATTTTTGCAGTGCGACACCATTTGCACGCCCTGGAAGTATCAGGCAGGCGATGGAGCTGCGTGAAAATCGGCAACACTGCTCGCAAATTCCAAAGTGGAAGCACCAGGATCAATACTGGTAGAGGCGATCATGTCTGTGAGCTCCTTGGTCTCTGAAGACTCTACGCCGAACGCTTGATTCCGGTTGGGATTGAACACGAGGTACAAAATGATCTGGATCAGCGGCAACGTCGTGCAGAAGACACCAAGCCCGAAGACGAACATGTCGCTCACCACGAGGCCATAGAGAACCCAGAGCGAGTTGCTGACGAGGCCGGCGCAGCACAGCGCGATGGGGATGGAGGCGCCGGACTTTGTCTGCAGCACGCGCTTGATAGTTTCGAACGGCGACGTGTACAGCAGGAAGCTGCCTCCAGCTGTGATCCAGTCCATGACATTGCCGACAGCGCTCAGACTCTGGTACGTCACGCCCTCACGCCCCAGCACGGCGTACGTCGTTCCAAGCGCTGTGAACGTCAGCGCGAACGCCACTGCCTTGATCGTGTAGGCGCGGTGCTTGGTGTAGCAGAAATGTACAGCCACGTAGCAGGCTGCCAGCACTTCTCCGACTAGGTAAGTGACGAGCAAAGGGAAGATGTCGTTCGTGACGTAGCCGTAGATCATCCTGCCAAGAACCAGCATCATCGCAATGCCAATGAACAGCGTCATAGAGTGAGCCCACAAACATGACGATCGACAAGCCACCCAACACACCAGAGATGGCAGCTGATCCAGAGCGCCACCAGAGGCAGCACCGCCACCTCGCCCGTGTCCTTGTTCGTGTAGACGCGGTAGACGGACGTGATCGCCGATCACTGATCGGACTGGGGCACATGACCAAGGCCGCGACGGACGTGGCAGCCTTGCGCACCGCCATCCAGACCCCCATCGTGAGAGTTCGCCCCGTGTCTCCACTTAGACAGCTAGCGAGGCAGCCAGATCGCGGGGAAAGTGGAAGGGCGGCCAGCCTGCTTCGTCTTCCGTAGAGGATGCGCTGGGTATCGTATTCAAGCGTGGCACGGAGGGCAAAGCGCGGTTCATGTCGAAGTGGTGATGTGTGTTGCTTCAAAAGTTGTTATGGATACGTTTATTCTATTCGGCGGGGTTTTGCTCACGTCACAGCAACCACGTAATACTTCTTTTACTAAATATTCGAACACAGGGTATTTTTAAGAATGTAACGGCAACTTCGGTACACCGTACCAGATAAATGGTACATAATACTATGTCTCCTATTATTTCATACGTGGTACACAGTGCCGGTTGAAGACATCAACAACATCACCTGTCGAGTGCGTTGCCCCTTCCGAAGGTCTCGCGGACATGCAGGCTCACAACTCAATTCGCCACCACCAACCCACGCCACGCTCAGCCCACAGACTCCGCGCCATGGTGAGCAGCGTCGCCCTACATGTGGTTGACGTTTTGTCGGCCCTGACGTCGCTCTTGCTCATCTGCAGTCCGGCCATCGCCACCTTCCGCATCTTCCGCCGCAAAGACGTCGGCGTGGCGTCCATCGTGCCACTAGCAACGCTGTTGGCCAACAGCCACCTCTGGATGCTCTACGGATATACCCTACGCAACTGGTTCCCAGTCTTCTCGGTCTTCCTCTTCGGTGACGCGGCCGGTCTGGTCTACCTCTCGATCTACTGGCGCTACACGCCCGAGCGCCGCCAAGCTGCGCGAGTTCTGGGCGTGACACTCGCGGTCTTGGTCGTCGCTACAATTTACGCCCTCCTTGCCGCATCAGGCCACACGGGACAGACCAGAGCCCAGGCGGGCTCCACCGTGGGCATCCTCTGCGATGTCGTCGCCGTGTGTCTGTACGGCGCTCCGATGGAGAAGCTCTTCCACGTGCTCAAGTACAGGTCGGCCGCCTTCATCAACGTGCACATGGTGATCGCCAGCTTGGCCAACAACGTCATGTGGTTCACGTGGGGCCTCCTCAAGAGCAACTGGTACATCATCTCGCCCAACATGCTCTTCATCGCGCTCAACTCGTCCACGCTGGTGCTCTACCTCGTGTTCAACCCCAAGACGCACCCGCTTCCTGCCGACTTCAATCAGCAGCGCACAGCGACGGAAAATTCGCGAGTATCTGCTGAACCCTCGCCCAAGACCACGTTCAGTCGCAAAGCCGAGATCAACTCCGCCAGTCCGGCATTTGAAGCCGTGCAATCCCCTCCAGAGACGCTCGTGTAGCAGCAAAGTACAAGTAGAATACATTAGCATATAGATTGCCAATTGTGATCTAGCAGCTCTGCTCTGCTCGCGGTTCATGAGAATGTCTCCCGGAGCAATCCCAGGCGATTGCTTGCCCCGATCGAGCATGTCGCTTTGGACCTGCACTTTGGCGCTGTTTATGCAAACCGAATCGATTGCATGCTTTGCCTGTTTGTGACGGGCGCTTGCTCGACGAGCGCTACGTGGTCAAGGGCTCACTTCCCGATCTTCGTGCCACGCAACGCACGCCCAGGTCAGAAGGCAGCGGATGAAGTCCAGCAACAGACAAACTCCGACGATGACAGGCGACGCCGGTGTCATGGTGGTGCGTGTGTGGGTCGCGTGCTCGACGCTGATGATGGCCTACCTGCCGTCTCTCTTCGTGCGTCGGATCTACAGCGCGAAAGACACTGGCGCCGCCTCTATCATCCCCCTGCTCTCGCTCCTGGTCAACTCACACGTGTGGCTAATGTATAGCTACATGTACAAGACGTGGTTCCCCAGCTTCCCGGTCTTCCTCACGGGCGACATCGCCGCCCTCTGCTACCTCTCCATCTACTGGCGGTTCTCCTCCGAGAGACGGCGAGTCGGTCGAACCATCGGCGCAGTGTTTGCTGTATTGGCGATACCTTCCATCTACGTGATCGTCGGCGGCTTGGGCTATACGGGCCAGACACGAACAGAGGTGGGCAAGACCGAGGGATACATTTGCGACGCTGCTGTGGTAACCCTGCACTTGGTCATGCTCAAGAATCTCGTCAACGTTGTCAAGACAAGATCGGCAGCATCGCTTAACCTGCGAACTTTGATAGTGGGCACGGTGAACACGTACGGCTGGTTCACGTATGGCAAAGTGACTTCAAACTGGATCATCAGCGGGCCGCACGTCCTCGTCATGATCCTTCACACGGCCGCGCTGATTCTGTATGCTGCATTGAAGCCTAGCTCCCACTTGGTAGCCACCAGCGGCGGTGCATCAATCGGACCGGGCGAGGCTCCAGTCGTCGTCTCGATCGAGCTGTCGCCGAAGGTTGCTGTTGACGTGCGTACAAAAGCAGCAGCCAGTAGTCCTGAGTATCATAGCCTGCCATCACCGATCGCATCGTTGCAGCGATAGAAGCCGACTGTACACCATAAATGAAGAGAATATTAAGTACTGAACAAGCCGAGACTTCTCACTGTTTTGCCGGCAGTCTCATCCATATTTGCTGCCCATGCGTAAACTTTGAAGTCAATAGAAGTAGTATAGACAGTCTAGTCCTGTTGGTGCGAGATCGCGATCGCGAGATGAACCAAAACGAGTCTTCGTAACGACAGCTAAGCTTACAGTGTAGTCTGCGATACAGAACCCGCCTCGAATAACCAACATTGACCGAATCGCGCCAAGCTGGTCGAAAGGGCGTTGAGCATGGCCAACTCGGGATCCGAAGCTGTATGAAGCGGCCGAGTCATTTTTGAAACACACATCCACCTTATCGAATGAGGCACGTCGTTCCAAGTTGTAGGGTTCGTGAATCCCGTCCTGAGTCAACTTCAATAGCACTAGCGACTTACGTTGACAGGTCACTCATCACGCGGCGGCCAATTGTTGGCGATAGCTGGTCCAGTGCGAAGTTGTCTGCGTTGCAGTCCTGTACCAGTCCTACCTTTTCATCCCTTCACCTCTCGAGCAAAATTCCCCTGGTGCTCGAGGCTCGCATAGCAAACATGGCAAGTCGTTCCTGGCCTGCGCCCTCAGCGAGCCCTTGCAGTCGGAAACCTCGGCGGGTGAGGGCGAGCTGAAATGAAAGCCGTTGGAACACGGAACGCCAAGCCGGTGGTTGCCTTAGTCGTTGACGTAGTTGCTGCACGCCGATGTCATGGATGGCCGACTTTGGCCATCCATCATGGCGTGGCAAGCCCTTGCTGTAAAGCCCCACACTTGCGTGTCACCCGCAGGCCTTCCGGTGCGTGTCCTTCAGTCGAATCGCACACGTTCCGGTCCTTTGCCAGTTCTTTATGAGTCATCGAAAAATACTGCACCTCTAAAACCTGCTGGGGATGTAAAGATCAGCAAGAATAGGTTATTCCTTTAAAAAGTCTAAATTTGATTAGGAATTCATCACAGTTTCCAACAATTCCGACAGTCACACTTACTATTACGTCTAGCAGGTATCTCCACTTTCGACCAACGACCGATTTGCCCGTCACACAGCGCAAGCGCAAGCCTGCAACGAGGCAGCGGCTGCAGCAAGCGCCGCTACATTCCCCACGTCCGCCCCAAGTGCACAGCACACGCGAGATGGTGGACAGCGACGTCGTCATGGCCGTGCGCGTGTGGATCTGGTGCAGCACGCTGCTCATGATCTACATGCCGTCGCTCTTCGTGCGCCGCATCTACCGAGAGCGCGCCACGGGCTCCGCCTCTATCGTCCCCATCGTCTTAGTGCTGGCCAATTCGCACGTCTGGATGCTGTATGGGTACCTGGGCAAGACGTGGTTCCCGAGCTTCCCTGTCTTCCTCATCGGCGACGTCGTCTCGCTCAGCTACCTCTTCATCTTCTGGCGGTACTCAACGGACCGCCGTCGCGTGGCCAAAGTCATCGGCGCTGTCCTCGCAGTGCTGGCTCTGCCCACGTTCTACGTGGTGGTGGCCAGCTTGGGCTTCACAGACCAGAGCCGAGTCGAGATCTGGAAGACCCAGGGCTTGTGCTTCTGCGACGTCACCGTCATCTCCATCCACACGCTCATGCTCCGGAACCTCATCCACGCCTTCAAGCAGCGGTCCGCCGCCACGCTCCTGCCACGCGCTCTCGCCGTGAGCAACTTCAACTCGCTCGGCTGGTTCACGTTCGGCCGCGTGACGTCCAACTGGATCATCGCCGGGCCCCAAGTGTTCGTCCTCGCGCTGCACTTGGCTGCGTGGACCATGTACGTCGTCTTCACCCGCAGAACCAAGCCGGATACGGCTCTCACCTCCATGGAGGAGGACTCCGTCGTCATGTCCGTCGACCTCTCTCCAAACGTCGACTTCGATGTCAGTGCCAAAGGGGTTCTAGTCCCTAGCAGTCCAGAGTACCAGGCGCTGCGGTCACCATTAGCAGTGGCGCTAACATTAGCGCCACTGCACACCTAAAATCGATCAATCGACTAACCTTATGTAGAGTGAAGAAAGGAATGATCCATGCCTTGCCTATTGTGTGCGCCAAAGACTCCACCTCGCGACCGCCGAAACCACGAGAAAAAGTGCGGGAAGGCTAGCCCACTCCATACAATTGAGACACCTCGTCGTTTAACGCAAGGCACGAGGGCACTGCCTCGAGGCCACTCACTCGTGGCAGCGCTCTGGCACTGCCTCCAGTACAGTATTAATACTGTAAGCGTCCATCGAAACCGGAGGCGGGTCAGAACAAGCTTCAATCGTGACGCAAGCTCACTTCTCCATTTGCCTCTCCACCGAAAAGTCCAGCTCTGCATCGCCATGGTGGACAGTACCGTGTTCTGGGTGATCAAGGTTCTCGCGGCGCAGACGTCGCTCGGGATGATCTGCAGCCCCGCGCTCTCCATCTACCGGATCCACAAGAAGCGAGACGTTGGCGTCGCGTCCGTCATCCCGCTCCCGTCGCTCATGGCCAACGCGCACGGCTGGGTCCTGTACGGTTACATGGAGCGAAACTGGTTCCCGATCTTCTGGGTCTTCGTCTTCGGCGATATGGCCGCCTTGTCGTACATGGCCGTTTACTGGCGGTACACGACCGAGCGGCGCTACGTCCTGCGCGTTCTAGCGGTCGTGGCTGCGTTTCTGCTGCTCGTCTCCGCCTACACGGTCGTGAGCGGTCTCGGATACCTCGGGCAGACTCGAGCGCAGGTCGGCTCGACCCTGGGCATCATCTGCGACGTCGTCGCTGTGTGTCTGTACGGGGCTCCGATGGAGAAGCTCTTCCACGTGCTCAAGTACAAGTCGGCGGTCTTCATCAACGTGCACATGGTCATCGCTGGGCTCTCCAACAACTGTGCTTGGATCGTGTACGGCATTGTCACGCACAACTGGTACATCATATCACCCAATATGTTCCACATGACGGTCAATTCGTCCACGCTGGTGCTGTACCTCGTGTTCAGCCCCAAAACGCATCCACTCCCAGAAAGCTTTCACAACACCGACGCAAACGCTGACGAGGCTGCAATCTCCATTGAAGTGACGCCCAGCACAAGTCTCAATTGCAAGAAAACTGGCGGTGAGCCCTCGAGCCCCGCGTTCCAGTCCCTGTCGTCCCCACTCCAGACGCTGTCCCCTGTAACAATGCACTAAGATTGTACGTGTAACAGTAATGGGGTGTAGTCCAGATAGGAGCGATTACCGTAGCTATTTGGGCGGACCAAATCTCAATTTTGGCGCCACAAAAGGTCATTCATCAGTCTGGGAGCCAATCAAAAATCTGGGGGCGAACTTCAACCACGCAAACGCTACTTCGTCTTCTGCTCGCAAAGAACGCTGCGTGGGCTGCTGCGATGGTCGACAGCGCCGTCTTGTGGACGGTCAAGGTGGTGGCGGCCCTGACGTCCATCCTTATGATCTGCAGCCCGTCGATCTCTATCTACCGGATCCACAAGAAGCGGGATGTGGGCGTCGCGTCCGTCGTCCCGCTGGTCTCGCTCTTCTCCAATGGTCACGTGTGGCTGTTGTATGGCTGGATCGTCAAGAACTGGTTCCCCATCTTCTGGGTCTTCGTGTTCGGAGACCTGGCAGCGCTCACGTACCTGGCAGTCTACTGGCGGTACACGACCGAGCGTCGCTACGTTGGCCGCGTCCTGGCAGTTGTGCTCTCCGTCTTGACGATCGCCACGCTCTACGCCATCGTCGGAGGACTCGGACACCTTGGACAGACGCGGGACCAGGTCGGCACGGCGTTCGGATTCATTTGTGACGCCGTCGCCGTGTGTCTGTACGGGGCTCCGATGGAGAAGCTCTTCCACGTGCTCAAGTACCGATCCGCAGTCTTCATCAACGTGCACATGGTGATCGCCGGCTTGGCCAACAACTGCACCTGGATTACCTACGGTATCCTCAGCGGCAACTGGTTCATCATCTCGCCCAACATCCTCTTCATCACGCTCAACGCGTCCACGCTCGTGCTGTACCTGGTCTTCAACCCGGAGACGCACCCCCTGCCCAACCACTTCCACCGGACGACTGCCCCCGACAGAGCTGAGTCTGTCGTTTCCATCGAACTCACCCCGAAAGAAAGCTTCGGACGGAAAATCGTCAGCGAACACCCGAGTCCTGCGTTTGAGGCCATGGCGTCTCCGCTGCGGACGCTGCCATGGTAGCTCGTTTAGTAATCGATTGAGGACGCGTTGGAGATAATTTTACCTTACGGGTAACTTTTCCTATATTATAGGAAACGTTTAACCGTGAATACAGGAAGATTTTTAAATGGGTCTTATGCAGAACAGGTCTTGGATTTGATCAGAGCGTACTTTTTCTTTGAACTTGTGATTCGCCATGTTTTGACGACAAACGCCAAACTTTAGCAGAATACGAAAGCCCTCAAGCCTCAGCGCAGTGGCTGCCATGACGCCGGCAACTATCATCAAGTTGCCAGCGGCTCGGTTAGCAGGGTCTTCCAGCCGTAACGGTCCAACCCGCTATGGACTGAGCCTCCTCTCCACCCATTCCAGCAACCACAGCGAGCTGCTGGACGTGGAGTTAGGAGATCCGGGTGCAACAGCAGCAGGCCGCGGCGCGCCGGCGGAAGGTGCGCGTGGCGTTCTCCAGCTCGTCGCTGACCAAGTCGCCGCTGGCACAAGACGGCTTCTGCGCTCCAAGGAGAAGGTGGGCGTGGGCGCGCCTGCCGAGTGAAGGTCGGTGGAGCTCAGCTTGGGCACCGCAGCGCTTAGGCCCTCCCGCTGCAGAAGACATCCGTTCGAGTTTTGTTGCGCGGGCGACGATTTCGTCGTGTGCTAGGCCCGCATTCCCCTTCGATGGCCGGTCGGAGGTGGCCCACTGCTTCGCTGCTTACGAGTTCCTCGGACAGAGACATGGGGTCCAATTAATACTTCATCTTGAAGCTCGAGTCCAGCTCAGCACGTTCCAGGGACCCCGTGCGGCACTCCGTGCACCGGTTACGTGAAGGAGAAGCGCAAGTCAGACACTTGACTGCGTGGTCACAGCTGAAGCCCTCGCCAAGCACTTCTCGTAGGTTGTCATATTCGCTACGGAGGGGATGAGCAGCAACTCGAGGTTCGTGCAGGCGGCATATTCACCCTGTAAAGCGATGCATCGCACGAAGCATGCCAATCCATGTGGGGTTGGCCGCCATTCTGCTCGAAGGCGCTCGCAGCTACGACTAGACCGTGCTGCCTTACACAGTGGCGTAGAGGTCATTGCTACGTCCAATACATAGTTTGCATATCGAATCAAATACAATTGTCTCACTATACATGTATAAGAGAGACAAGTGTGTGAGCTTACCGCCTAATGCATCTTGCTGCGGCTACGGTACCAACTCGGAAGAGCAGCAGAATATTGCAAATAGAGGTGCAGGTATTAGGAAGTGACTAAGGACGTATCGGGTCTTGCCACTGGATAATGTCTGCTCATTCAGAGAAGACCACCTTTCGTCTACAAGAAGCTTGGTTATTACTTGGCAGAGCAGAACGTTGAACGGAGCATATCCAGATAGAGAAGAATTGTCGTGTCATGTTCCACTCCTGTGGGTGTTTGGTTCAGGTCTACCGATTCGGTCTCATAACCCCACTTAGCCCAGTCCGTAGGACAAATGGAAGGACCAAAAGTTAGGCGCCTCGCTCCGTATAACTAGAAACAAATAGGATCATGTGACTACATGGGCACAATCCCCCGTCCTAGCTGTCCTGGTGGTCTTATCGGTTTAGCGTCCTCCATTGTCCTTCTCGAGATATAAGCCGTTGAAAACTTGTCTCTTGTAACATCGAATTTTGCCGATTTGTCCTAGCCTAGGAAAATTTTGACTTGATTTCAGTATGGTCTCAGCTGGAGCTATCTTTAGCGCCGATTTCCCTGCCCGATGCGCACCCCTTTGGGGGGTCAAAAACACCCCATACAAATATCAAGTCAGTTTGGTCCTTTTTCGGGCTCCCTAGGACAAAAACGGCCGGTGTGTGCCACACCAAAACACGATTTGGTCCTATCTCCTAGGACAAATCTAAGCGGGATAATCAGCATGTTCAAATCCTAGACCTGATCTGCATAAGAACCAAAATAAAGGCAACCTGAATGCAATGTGTTACTGTAAATGTATTGTAGAATACATGTAGCGATACTTGGTCTAGGACACCTGCCGAGTTGCATGCCAGCTTTACCGTCTCAAAACAGCAGCAGTAGTTACTAGGGCTGTCAACGTTTCGCAGAAACGTGTAAACCTTGCAAACGTTTGCAAAAACTTTTAACTACCTGAAAAGTTTCGACGTGGCCCACATAAAATCAAACACGCCGCCATGCCATGAGCTCGAGCTCCGGGCTGCTGTGCTCCGAGCACACGCGCTTCGTGCAAACGTAGGAGCGCGTGCTGTTCTCCAGCGCGCAGCTAAGCGTGATCGTGACGTTCTTTCTCAACTTCATCAAGTCGTGTCCAAGCTGGTACACGGCCAGCTCGATCCGTGCGCTGGGCCAGGTGCTGCACGACAACGCGGACCGCGCCAGCGGCGAGTTTGAGCTGCTGTTCGCCATGCTGCTCAAGCACATGGACCCGACGGGTGTGGACATCGAAGCGCACTACGCTGCGACGAGCTGCATGTCGAACATCTGCACGCAGGCGGGCAGGACGCCCGAGGTGTACCACTACTTTTCGCCGTTACTTCGGATGGTGGTGGAGAACTTTCGGCAGCAAGCGCAGAGCCTGACCAAGGACCAGAATGACCGAATCCTCGTCAAGGCCTGCACATGCAGCATGAAGTGCGTGTTCACGATCATCAACTTTGACCGCTTGAACGGCCGCATCGCTGCGACGCTGCCCAGTCTAGCATTTTGAAGGACCAGATCGATATAGCGACTATCGAGAGCAAGGTGGTCAAGTAGGTGCATGCAAGCAAACAAGAAAATGCATTGTTTACGAATTCGTCAGTGCTAGCGCTTGGCCTACACTAATAGCCTCGATTCACCAGATAAATCCCACAAGCTCTTGAATTATATACGCCGCTGCCTTCATCACATTTGTTGCCGGCGTGCCGATGCCTGCTCTCGCTTCATGCGGTTTGAATTCTCGGCGATGAACACAAGATCGCGCACAAATTCTGGTGTTAACGACAGGGCACCCGAAAAAATAATCTTCATAAAAATATATTCGCATTTTATAATTGAATGATTAATTTCTTGAAAGTGCCGAATTTTTGTTAGAATTTTTATCAGTTCCTCGCAACTTAAGACTAAGAAATACAGGTTTAGCTAGCCTTCTGAGTCTTCTAGCTCACAGAAGGCATCAGAACGAAAGACTATCAGGGTTCGCAGTTGGAGCATTTACTTGGACCAGAAGCCTTTGATAATTATATAGAAAATTATTCTGGATTCACAAAATATTTAACTATTAATTTCTGCTCGGAACAGAAAAATATTAATCCAAGAATTGCATTCTCGGGTGCTCGTCAACTTAACGAGCACCGCCTCACCGACGGCTCTATCAGCATTGCTGTTTCTTGGACTGGCATTTACTTGGACCAGAAGCCTTTGATAATTATATAGAAAATTATACTGGGATAGGAAGCAACGTTAGTGCTGCTATCGCAGACCAAACAGGATTATATCCGTGGTACGTCAAGTCAAAAGGTGACCCCTCTTGACACCTAACTGGTACATTGTCCTGAAACCGGTGTGACCCCGGTGCCGCACTGGGCCCTCCAAAAGGTTTATATGCGTGGGCAAGCTGAACTGGTAGAAAACCCATTACACCGGTACGGCCGCGGTGCCGCACTGGGCGTGGGCAGATTGAACCGGTATGAGTCAGTAACATATATCGAATAGTAGGAGTGAAGTAAAGTGAATGATTGAAGCGGACGAACTGCTGCAAGGTAAACATTTTCATTTTCTACAAGCTACAAATATTGGTGACCCGGGTGGTGAACCCGGGGGGTTTCGCAGTTCGAAGCTACTTGAAGCATTAGAGGCTTTCAGAAGCACGGCTTTTCTAAAAATACGTAGCGAAAAACACGTAGCGCCCATACGTAATTTTGACTACGGGATTCCCGTAGTGGCGGGCTCTTCAGAGATACGGAAAGTCAAAAACCCGTGGCAAAAGTACGTAGCGACTCTTCGCGCTCGCGCAAAATTTCAACTCTGCTTTTCGGCAACCAAAGATCAAAGCTTTGCTGTCGGCACTCATCGGCTGCAAACGCATCGACGATGGACGAGGAAGGCACGCTGGTGCTGAGCCAAACCGTGGAGGGGGAAGAGATCGCAATGCTGCTCATGATTGAGCTGGTCGCTAACGCCCCCCTGTCCTACCGAGACCGGATCCTAGTTCCAGATTTTCGCCTTGACATCCTCTCAATGCCTGATGGTGAAGCCAAGGACCAGTTTCGTTTCATCACCAGCGACTTGCAGAGGCTCGTGCGATACCTGAAGATACCAGACCCAGTGATAACCAAGGAGGGCGTTCGTGCAACCGCACTCGAAGCTTTGGCGGTGTGTCTTCGCCGCATGGCATTCCCGCAGCGTTGGATTGATATGGCGGGGATGTTCGGGCGCGCCCCGTCGACACTGTGCCACATATTTTACTTTGTTGTGGAGCACCTTGATAAGACGTTCACAGAATTGCTGTACTTCGACGCAGAGCGAATCGCTAAGAACTTAGATCGCTACTGTCAAGAGATTGCTGCAAAGACTCCAGACTACATTGAGGGGGTGTGGGGATTCATTGATGGCACGGTGCGTCCAATATGCCGACCTGGAATCGGGCAACAGGCCGTCTACAACGGGCACAAGCGCGTCCACGCCTTCAAGTTCCAAACCGTAGTGGCTCCGGACGGTATGATCTGCCATGTTTACGGGCCGGTCGATGGAAGACGACACGACATCTACATGCTGAGAGAAAGTGGTCTCATGTCGCTTTTGGAAGGCAACGATGTCTTTCATAACAAGCTTATCTACGGGGACCCGGCCTACGGCTGCACGAATGTCTTCTGCTGTCCATTCAAGGGATGCCGAATCGATGCGCCGCAACAGGAGGTGAACAAGGCCATGAGCAAGGTTCGGGTGTCCGTGGAGTGGTCATACGGCGAGATCACGCGCTATTTCTCCTACCTGGACTTCAAGAGACAGCAGCAAGTGGCCATGACACCCGTAGCAACGCTCTACAAGATCGGGGTTCTCTTCACCAACTGCATTACGATCGCGAGAGGCAAGAACAACAACTCGAAGTACTTCAACTGCCCCCCACCAACATTCGACGAATACTTTGGCACGACATGCTAGAGAAAACACTCCAAGCAAGCGCCAACCAAAACCAAAACTAATCTGTGCGGCTAAGCAAAGCAAAACGAACTCATAGGTGAAGTTGACTTAAGTTTAAAGTTCGATGGCTACTTAGCCAGCCGCAAACGTGCATGGTGTAGACGCACAATGGTTTCTGGTTACTCGAGTCGGAATTCCGGCTGGGCAACACCGCGGACACGTTGCTGGGCTTCAAACGGATCTCTCAGTAGCTGCAGTTCATCTCGGCGGAGTTGCATCTCTTCTCTGCGAAGCTGGAGCTCGTCCTTCCATCGGGTTTGGTCGATCATTTGCTGTTTCTTCTTGAAGCTGAATTCTTGTTCCCATCTACTAGCTTCCGCGTTGGACTTGTTCTCCAGGAGCTCAAGTTATTTACGTTGAAACTGTTTGTTATCGTCACGGTTCTGAGATTGAAACTCCATGAAAGCGCCCATTATTCCTGCTGAGTTCGCGATAAGCTTTGTCGTTCCTTGAGCTGGTGGTGGTGCATGTCTCGAAGTGTCTCCAGTGTCAGAACAATCCTCAGCGCCCTCATCACTTTCAGCTTCTCCCGTCGCCGCGTATCTCTCTCGCTTCTACACTTCACAGCTTGGTCACGCAGAATTTCACCTTGTGTTTGCAGTGCCGCTGCTTTGTCTTTCTACTTCTTGTTTTTCTTCTTCTTTTCCTCCTCCACATCGCGGATGCGGTCCGAGATATCTTGAAGAAGCCGCTTGTGTTCTGTATACTGCTCAGAACCCCCCGATTTCTTTCGGTACGATTGATCGTCGAGCTTGAACTCGGCGAGCAGCAGCTCCAAACGGTCTTTCACAGTTCGATCCAGCAATTTCACCTTCAGATGCTCACTCAGGTTATCCGCGACTTGCTGGTAGCGTTGCTTCTTGAACCCATGTTCGGCGGCGTAAGGTTCAAGGCTGAGCATCTCCTTGAACAGCGCGAGATCGGCTTCTTGCGTGAAGAAAAACTTCTTGGGCTTCTTTTTGGCGTTCTTCTCCTTTTTGCTGTTGTTCTTAGCCTTGTTCTTACTGGAGCTTGGTTTATCAGCTGAGCCGCACTCACCGTCACGCACACGGGTCTCGTGTTCACGATCAGCTCTAATTTCATCTGATTCATCCAAATCTTGGTTGAGAATGCTTTGGAGTCTCACAGCATCATGCGAGCCAACTCGGCGCTTGTGAGCGACACCTCCGACTTGAATTACTGGTCCTGATGGAGCTGCGTTGGTGGTGGCTGCTAGCGAGATGCTGGAGCTGGCACTAGCACAGCCAGCAGCGAGTTCAAACCCCTCATCATGGACACGAAGTGGTTGTTGAGCTTGTTGTTGACCAGCTTCGGAGTTGTCCGGTGCTTTCAACGTCTTGCCTGCGCGTGGAGCGGTTTTAGACCGAGTCTGACGCGTAGGCTTCTTTCGCTTGGGCCCTGGACGTCTCGGATGCAGCTGGAGCCTTCGCGCATTGGTTGCGGCAGATAACCGAGCACACGCGCACGTCCAGGTCCCCATCGAGGAGCGTATTGGAGCAGAAGTGGTGGACGGGCTTTTGACAGGCTGTGCAAGGCTCGACGACCAGCTCCTCGTCGTCCAGGACCTCACATCCATCGTAAGCGCACGGCCCTTGCTGCTTGGTCATGCTGCTCTTCGCACGTAGATTTGGGTTTGATTTTCCCGTGGCGGACCACTCGGCCACGGGTTTACGTCGCTACGTATTTTCGCTACGGGTTTTTGTTAAAATCACGTGCTTCTGAAAGCCTCTATTAGGGCTAATGAAGGTGAATGTACGCCGGAATAGTTCTAGATGAGGTTCGCCCAATTGCCAGCCTGTGTTCACAGAAAAATAAAACCAAATCACCTGTGGATACTAGATAAACATAGATTAAAATTGCGACGCTTGCTTACATCGTCGGATATCTCGTAGCCAAGTAAGTACTTGAAAGTAAAACAAGCAGCAGACTCCGCGCGCGCAATCTCCCGTTAACATTATCAAAGGTGTGTTATTCACAGGCATCTCCTGCGCCAGCTTCGCAGCCGCAGCATCTACCTGGTATGGTGATGTGCAGGCGGTAGATATTAGAAGTCTTCTTTAGCTTTGTACCTGTGACTAGCTGCCATCGTGACGAACAGCAATAAATGGACGAATTTATAGCGCTGGCCCCGCCGGTAGTGAATTTTACAGCTTGAACACGCTGCATCTGCTTCAAACTCACAATTCGGGGAGTGCATACCTGATAAGGTGCTTTCGGTTCGTCTGTTGCAAGCTCACGGTCAGACCTAACACAGATTTTTGTTTGGTGGGGTAGTTTGGACCGATGAAATGCTACAAAATGAAACCAAACTCGATGAGCTCTTGTCGAGATCAAGCCTGGATTAATCATTCAAAACCTATTATTCAAAAACAAAAGATGCCTTAAAAAAAACAAAGCAGCTGGAGGATCTAAACGAAACGCTGGTGACTAAGAGGTCGTAACTTTGCCGGGGCTGCAAGAAATCGGTTTAATTAGTTTTCACTTGATGCATGCATATGCCAAAGCTCTACTTGCCGCTGTGTATTGGTTATAAGGAATTTTCAGAAGGAACCATCATAAATACCGATACACCGTGTTCAGTGACTACATGGTATCCTCTCAATCGCAAAAAAGTTTTGCTTGTGCCTAAAAGGGGTTCGGCAAATAAGAAACAGTAGCAAGCAATCTACCTTGGCCCGCCCAACTTTAATATTTTTCGTGGAAGTCTTGTTGGGTGCTCAATCGACAAAGACTCGTTCTAATGAATGTGCAGGAATTCACCCTGTCGAGATCCTCTTCCAGGATAATTTTACATGACCAATTAATCGGCCTCGTAGGCAATCGGCTCATAGAACTAAGCATGTGGAGTACGGTTGCAATATCATCTTCTAGTGTGTCTGTGTGGCCAGCCCTGGCCGGTCTCGTGTCTGCCGCAGTGCATGTTGTACGATCCGATGCAAAGCTCGCTCTGGTGCTTAGAGTTCTAGAAGCCGGATTCGAGAAGCTGTACGAATTCGTAGGCAAAAGCCAGGAGCAGGAACAAGCACTAGTTTAGAGTTGGAGCTAACATCAGAATTCATTTTACTTTCCTTTGCATACTGGTGACCACAGTCTGAAAGAGGAGGTCATAGAATACGATCGGATCCATAGCCAATGGGGTCAGTAAAGTACTACTTCGAAGTACAATTTTAAGTGCTCTGAACATATTACATGTACAAGTACGACGTAGTGCTGTGATAATGTCAAATAGTTTATTGGAAGCTGTGGTTGGGCTCACGATCAGCATCATCAGGACGTATATCCAACATTGAGCTCAACGCTGTAGAATATAATTGTCAGTAGCTAGCTATACGATGCATGCTACTACGACGAACAAGGTACCACGGGCTGCATTCTTGCATTCTTTCTCCACAAAACATGTATTTCGATGGAGTCCACTTTCTCGGGGTGCATACGTTCTTGCCCTTCAGCGCGGTTCGACACCTGGCGATTCTAACGTATATGTAAATTTTGAAAATACTGTGACACGGCATAAAATACGCACGAAACTATGAAGTACAAAACATCACATCATATTGGCAGGCGAATTTCTTGTTGTTCATTGCACGATTTTGTCTACCGGACTTCATCTTGCCGGATATTTCGTCGTAGTCTGTAGAACCCGTGTGTTCATGTCTAAACTGGATAACCTGGTTTACATCAAAAACAAACTACGGCTAAGCCGATCAGGCAAGTGCCCAACGAACAGGCCCAGTTTTAAATTAAAGTTTCGTTTCTGTGAGCAAGCCCAGAAATGGAATGATTCAAGTAATCGTCGATTCGGGCCACTTTAGAAACTTTAGGGTCGAGAACTGGTTCAAACCATCTTCGAGGTCTAGCATAAATTGGAGATGCTTTTTGTTTTACAAATAATACCAGTAAGGCGATCTATTACGCATAATTTCATAATTTTCTTGAGCAAGTGTGAATGATAATGGTCACCAAGCCAAGCGTGGCTTTCTACGTGCGTGGCTACTCCGTTTGAACTTCTGAAAGTCTTTCGCCCCCAACTTGGCGGAACGGCACACTGCACGAGCTCCGCGACTACGATGTGACTTCAGGCGCAACGTTATTACAGAGCTAGCAGGCTACGATTTCAACTTATAATTCCAGTTGTCTGTTTATCTACGTGTCAATCCGAGCGGTGAATTGATTGAGGAAGATCCACGGTTTCATGTGGCATGAATGTCGTTCGATGTCATCCAAAAATCTTCCCCAATCAACAGTTCTTCGAACTGCGAATATCTCGAGCAAGGTTCGTTTTATCACTGTGTATAAGCACCGCCAAGGCATATCATGTATCCACAGTTTTGAGGTGAATTACCGGGCAGACGCTGCGGCTGCGAAGCAGGCGCAGGAGATGCCCGTGGTTCGAAAAAAAAACTCATAATTATAGAACGCGATTATAATACCAAAAACCTCCAACCCCAGCCTTAGCGGAGCCCTAGTTCTGGATTCACAAAATATTTAATTATTAATTTCTGCTCGGAACAGAAAAATATTAATTCAAGAATTGCATTCTCGGGTGCTCGTCAACTTAACGAGCACCGCCTCACCGACGGCTCTATCAGCATTGTTGTTTCCTGGACTGGCATTGAGAGCGGTCCAGAGGAGCGAGCCACCTGAGCGATGCGGGGAGCTACAGGAAGACCCCAGTGCCAGGTCCGCCTGGCGGAGCTCGTCCATTGTGTGCTTGGCGAGGCTTCTCAATGAAGCTGTGAAGATTCATTCACAGTAAATTTGTATGGTATACATTCACCTAGTCATGGGCGCCGCGAAGTTTAGAAACGTTAAGCGTTTGTTTGCAAACTGGCAAACGTTGACACCTCTACACCTTTGTGACCAACGTGCAATCAAATCCGAAAGTCGCAAAATTCATATTGCAAATTTCTTGTTAGCAACTTCAATTACGCAATTAAAGATGGAATTAGACCACCTCGGTGACTGTTGCAGTCAAGCGCCCCACTCATGCCTTTGGACGCTCTCACTCTTCGATTTGCCAAGACTCGACTCGCACTCGACTAGTGAAAAAAATGACTGGCACCACGGAGCTCGTGATAAAGACGATGGCTGGGTGCACGGGCATGATCATGATCCTCAGCCCCTCCATCCTCATCTACCGAGTCTTCAAGACGAAGGACGTCGGCGTGGCGTCCGTGATCCCGCTCGTCACGCTCTTTTCCAATTGCCACGTTTGGTGGCTCTATGGATATATGATCGAGAACTGGTTCCCCATTTTCTGGATCTACCTCGTCGGAGACTTCGTCGCGCTGGTCTTCCTCTCAGTGTACTGGAAGTACACCAAGCAGCGCCGCTACGTGAACCGAGTGCTGACGATAATGGCGGCCATCCAGGCAGTCGTCACCATCTACGCGATTATCGGCGGCTTCGGCTACACGAACCAGTCGAGAGACAGCATGAGCACCGTCCTGGGGCTTGTCGCCGACGTGACCGCTATTTGCATGTACGCCGCTCCAATGGAGAAGTTGCTGCAAGTGCTCAAGTACAGGTCGGCGGCTTTTATCAACGCACACATGGTGATCGCCGGACTCACGAACAACTGCCTCTGGTTCACGTACGGCATTATGACGGATAATAGAGATCTTTAGCAAAACCTATTGTGCTTTTCAGTTGTTTTGGCAAATCGGACGTGTAAAACAGCTACCTACTAAGATGGGGCTAGGTTATCGGAGCAGATTAGCAGGTCTCTCGTAGGGAATTAGGACTAAGAATTGCTAGTCCGATGGAAGCACTTGCGCAGGTCCTACAAACAGCCGAAAGCCCGAATGTCGCCCATTTTCACGGCATTCGGGGTTTGAGGTCTTACGAAGGACTCCTACCAAGTCTTGTGGCAGGACTTTCATACGAGCTGACTCTAATACGGTGTATGTCAAACGCAGAATAAACCTATGAAAACACGATGCAGTCGATACGTTAAACACTCCAGTCGTCGCCATTCGCCTTCGCGGGTTCCGGCATTGCTTGCTTCCCCAAACAAAAATTGCTTGACTTGGACTCCAACCGGAGTCCATTGAACGGAGAGACTCCAGGAGACCACTCATCGGACTCGTCCGAGATTTGCATCTCAGATTTAGAGACCACCAACCTCAGATTAACTGACCTCCAAAGTCCTACGTAGGACTCGGCAAAATGACCGAAAGGCACAATACAGTCAAACCTGTTTATATGATCCTCTCTATTTGAGCCATGCCGTTTATTTGATGCAGGCTTTGTCGCTACCAAATATTTCACTTAGTTTTTGTATGATCTCTGTTTATATGCATACAAGGTATATGAGTCACATTTTTGGGGACCAAATTAGGTCTCACCTGTTTATTTGATTCACACTGCTCACGGCCACACACTCTTCAAAGCACCACTGCTCAACACTCAACGCCTACCGCAAGCCTTCTTCGCTCGCCATGTCACCTCGCACCTGTCTGACGCTAGAACAAAAGCTCCAAGTGCACCTAAAGCTCAAGCAGAATCCTGGCATGAACAACCCCATGCTCGCCGAGTGGATCTACGCAACTTTCAAGGCCCGGGTCAGCCGTGCCACACTCGCCCGGCTGCGCAACCTGCCTTCTTCCTACTTCAGCCACGTCGACCTGAGTGCGACCAAGCGGTGCCGAGTGAAATTCCCTCAGTTCGAGCGGGAACTGAGGGAATTTTTCTTTCAGAACGAAGCTAAAACGGCGATGGCGGACGACGTGCTCCTGCTGAAGGCGCATGAGCTGGTGGAGCGCTTAGGAGGAAGAGGAGGAACAGGAACCCGTAGTTCAACCTGCCATTGCTCTGAGACACTGCATGGAGCTGGCTGCGTTTCTGCTGCAATGCGGAGAGCAGACTGACAGAGAACGAAGAGCTTTACAGACCGTGACCGCTTTGGTTCGAGAGACTACGGTGAAGGCAAAGCGGCAGCGAACTATGCACGATTTCTTTACGTGCACCACATAATTTTTTTAACTGAGTCCATTTTATATGAGTCATTGTAGTTGATGGTCATCAACAGGTCCTCATATAAACTGGTTTGATTGTACACAGTTGCTTTGTGGGTTATCACAGCTGGTATTAGTCCTAACCCCACCTATTTGTGGGATTGAAACCCACCACTTGAACTGGGTAAACACTTGCGAGTCCACCAAGTTGGAGAGATCAAACTGTGCGAGTTCGACATATGTTTTAATAACTTACCACAATGAGGGCGCTAAAAGCATGATGCTGCTACTAAAATACTGCCCAACAACTTAGGCGGCACCGTACCCTACTTTAGCAGACTTACTTGATCGAAGATACATGCAAAGCGAGAGCTTGGAGGAGTATCTCGGTCTGGAGACTAGTATTCTTTAATATTACTTATTTAACAAAAGAGCGTCTCGCATGAGCACTTGGCGAACAGCTCAACACCAAGCTAATTCTTCGCCTAGCGGTATGTAAATCGTGCCTCTACCATGTGCTGGTGGTGACAACCCACAAAGATTTGCAGCAAATCAGCAGTGGCGGGCTTGGGTGGGGTTGTGCCTAGAGTTGGTCAAATCTTTATCCAGTTATTACCAGTTACCGTTATTACCTTCGTACTTACCATTTATTAACGTTAATAACTTTTATGTATAGTTGGTGTGGCAGAAATATTCGATTTGCTAACGGTAATACATCATGTGTATAGTTGGTGTGGCAGAAATATTCGGTCAACGCGTTTCGTGAAGTTGTCAACGTACGTGGAGGTCTACCGACATGAAGCTGCGTATGCTCCACGTGGCAGGCAGCTCGCGCACGGGGCCTATTCTCGTCGCTGCATTCGCAAACTTGCTCCTGTAGAGCCTGCAAGCTCGATGGACCAAAACGGCCACCGCAACGAGGACCGGGCTAGCAGTGAAGGGTCTTGCCTTGGTCGCCCTTCAGTTGGCGTGTGGACCGAGTACATTGTGGTTGTGCCACGTTGGGCCAACCCGAAGAAGCAGCACCCCGATGTGACGTGCAGGCACTGCTCCAAGCTCATCAAGAATGCCCAGCCCAAGAAAAACCTCCGCCCACACATTCGCAGTTGTCCCTGCGCCCCAGCGGACGTCCGGGCTAATTACCCTGTCACACCCTCCAAGCGAGATCGTCCCGACACTTCCGATAGGCTCCACAGTCCATCCAAGCGTTCGCGGCCTGAAATGGCTACAAGTGTGTTAGGACCGGTCTCAGTGACTGAAAAGAAGGAGTTCCATCTTCAGATTGCCAAAGCGTTCTATGCCTGCGGCATTCCGTTTCGAGTCATCGAAAATGGAGCCATGAGGTGTATCCTGACGAAGTACCGGCCCGTAATGACGCTCCCTTCACGCCAAGATTTGGCGACCTCACTGCTTGATAGCGCGTACGCGGAGGAAGTTGCCAGCGTTATGGAGGTGCTGAGGGAGCAGCAGTACGTTGCCATTGTATGCGACGGATGGTCCGATCCCAACAGCGAGTCCATTATCAACTTTATGGTGACGTCTCCATTTATCCGACCCATATTTTGGTCATCGGAGCGCTGCGCCGACAAACAGCATACAGGGGAGTTCATGGCGTCAGAGTTGAACAAGGTGATTCAAGCTGTTGAAAATGTCGTCGGAAAAGGATCGGTATGCGCTGTTGTGACGGACAACGCGTCTAACAGGCGTAAGTCATGGGAGCTTCTAATGGCCAAGATACCAAGTCTAACGTGTAACGGCTGCGCGGCACACACGATCAATCTTCTACTCAAAGACATGTTCGGGATGGAGCTCATGAGTGACGTCTTCAAGAAAGCCGTCCTAGTTACCAAATTTGTGCGTAAGCGTGCAGCGCTTCTTTATCGCTTTCGGGCTCTGCAACGCAAGTATTTTGGTACCCGGCAGCGACGACGCGCGCTAATCATCCCTGTTTCGACGCTGTGGTACTCGAGCACAAATTGTATTTCTAGTGTCGTGAGGAACGAAGATGTGCTGCGTGAGTTGTTTTCCAACCATGAATTTCTGGCTCGTTACGGAGATGCTGCTGCCAAACTCAATCGCGTCGAGTCCATTTTGGCTGATAGCATGTTTTGGGTGAATGCCAGAGCCGTAATACGACTGGTGAACCCGATAATCCAAGCTCTCGGCGCTCTCGAAAAGGATGGGTGTTGCCTATGATACTTTCGTAGACTGAAAACCCACGTCATCTACAACCGCGAAACTGATGATGTTGCTTCTGGTATTCTTAACACGATCCGAGGCCAGATTTGCTCCCGCTGGAACACCCGCAAGCGCGAATCAATCCTCGCTGCATTTTTACTGGACCCAACTAAGTCTACGGACGACTTTGAAGGTGATGATTTGGGCAATGCAGTCGATGCATGCGTAGATCTAGCTACACGAGTTGGTCTACCCTCCAACGTATCTCCAAATGCGGTTCGCCGAGCTGTCATGGCTTTTATTCGCGTGAAGAAGTCCTGGATAGCCGAAGACCACGAAAAAACGCGAGGGACACGCCATTAGACTGGTGGCTGGTCAAGCTTAACAAGTTTCCGCTCCTACATGCTTTGGCTACCCGCGTTTTGAGCATCCCGACGTCGTCCGCTGCGAGTGAGCGCTCGTGGAGTGTTGACTCCTTCATCCGCACCAAGCGACGAAATCGGCTGAAACCCGATCGCGTGGAAAAGCTAGCATATTTGTACTCGAATGCGGGTGACAAGGCTGCAACTAGTGCAGTGCACTATCAAGTCAATGCAGAAGAAGAGGGCGAAAGCAGCGCGAGTTTTTACGCGTGCTGATGAGCGCCAGCTTGTGCCACCGGTCGTGAGGCCGCCCGGATCGGCAAGTGCAACAACACCGAGTCTACCAACTAGCGATCGTCTCGTATTTTCAGGGGGTAGCAGCGGCCGTCGTGGACTACCTCCAACTCCACAGTCGAGCACTGGACGCACCCACCACTCGCCGAGGGTGCTGTTTGGTCCAACCTGGGAGCATTAGCATATTTGACTTTGTTCACGCTAGCTAAGCCCGCAACACGATCCATATTTTCATTCCGTTCACGCCTTCTTGATTACATATCATGCACTAGTTAGTCAATAGAGTCGTCGTCCTCATGCAAATGTGTATCAATGCATTGGCTTCAACCTCTTTCGAATTTCTTCTAGATGCTGCCCCGGCTGATGGTATTTCTAGCAGCTTCCTCCGCTTCATTTTCTCGTGAGGAGTTTTGGTTCTACTGCGGACTTGGGTAGTTGTTCATGATAGGGCTAGACTTGATGGTGCTTGTCGGACGTGACGGCATATTCGTCGTCGCGCTAATCGAGCCTTGATCACTCATGCACGCAGCCGAGGATGTTCGATTTGCTCTTGCCGGCCTCACCAGCGCGCACACAACCTTTCTGTGCTTGTGCGTGGTGAAGCTGCGTGTGGACCCGTGACCATGGCGGTCGCAGAACACTTTGGTGACCTTAGTGGTGGCGAACTTGCTAGGGGTGAAGGAGGGGTGGAGGGCTAAACCGCTTATGCCCTGACTAATCCGAGTTCAAATAATGCAAACGCCAGCTCTTCTTGCTCTTCTTATAATCGTAGCGCTTCACATCAGTTAGTTCACATATTCAGTGCATCGTGCCGTACCCGCCGAAACAGGTTGCCCTTCTACGAGATGACCTCAACTTGAACTTCTGTCACTGAGCTGCCAGCGCAACGGCTCACATTGGCACAGCAGAACGCGCACTAGCACTCCCACAAATAATGAAGCGTCATATTTGGTTAAGAATGCAGTAATAATGTAACATCAACGCTTGTAGCGCAACGTTTAGGCCTCGTCCAACCCTTATCAGCGAGCTGTTCGTTCATGTAACAGCATAATGGCCACCTCGGCGATGTATATGATACTCTTCAAGCCCTTCCCTCTCTTGCGAATCTGCAGCACAACACACAAACTCATGAGATCCACCATATCCAGCTACACGCTCGCCCAGCGGCACTTACTTCATTTTTGATGAATCCCTCGGCCAGCAGGCACGTGACGTGGTCCACGTACTGATGGCTAGGCCCGCCCTGCAGGAGATAGGTGTTGTTGGTGCCGGACTCTGTAGTGCCAAAGAACTCGCAGGCCCTGTCGCTCAGCAGTGAAGCATCGGCCTCGTCCGTCGTGAAGCGCACGCCGCACCTGTTCTCCTTGGGCACCATGTCGCCTAGTCCGAAGCAACTACCGGCCGCAACGGTGTACAACTCGGGTGACGCGCCGATGATGTAGACGCCCACACCGGCGGCACGGAGCGCGTGCATGGCTGACTTCTGGCCACTGAAGAAGCGCAGGTCCTTGGTGAACGAGCCGTCGACCTGCAGGTCGCCCGCCGACGTATACATGGGGTCCGCGAGGGCCAGGCCGAACATCATGGTTTCGGTCTCCGTCATGTCCACTAGCATGGCGCGTGAAGAGATCTTCTGTAAGCAGTCTGAGTGGCCTTGTCGCAGTCCATCGTCTCGGGCCGAAAAGCAGAAGTGCAGGTACACGATGGCTTCCTTGATGAGATCCAGCGGGCGTTTGACTACTGCGATGCGGAGCCGTTGCTGATCAGCTTGAATGTGGGGCGATGTACGCGTCGTAGAGCACCTTGGGCCTATTTTTGCGAGCCCCGTGGCCAGCGTGGCGCCGGCGCCGTTCACGTCCTGGCCGAGCAACGAGCTGGTGCCGAGCGACGCGTAGATCTAGGGGAGAGATTTCAGCCTGGGACCGGAGAACGCACCGCGCGCGTGCAGGCTAGCATTGTGTGGGAAGCTGATATGAGCAAAAGCTTGCTCTTCCAGAAGTTAAAATGCTTAAGACAATATTTAAGTATTACGATACACAAATGATACACAAAGGTAATACCATCGTTATTAAATGCCTAAAATTACTAATACCAGTTATTAAGAGTTATTAACTTGGTAAGAAACAACACTAGTTGTGCCTTAAACCCACACCGTTCTGCTAAAGACATCTAATTGGTTCATTATCACACCCGCCATCATTTTCATGTCGCTCAACACGTTCACGCTGGTGCTGTGTGTCGTGTTCGACCCGAAGACGCACCCACTGCCAGACGATTTCCGCATCGATGGCGATAATGACAACGAAGCGGCGATAGAGAAGGCTGCCAAGAGTCCTAGCTGCAAGGAAGACAGTGCGCTCCCCAGTCCGGTCTTCGAAGCTATGCACTCGCCTCTCGAATGCATCCAAGTGTCCAAGTAAGTACACAGCAAAACCAGATAAACACATTACAAAAGCTACCGTTTGAGGACGAAAATGGCTGTAGCTGTGCAGCTCATAGTAATCTATCGTATTTTTCTGCAAATGTAAATGTCTTCCTTCAAGTAAAGCTCGAAGGAGTTGTGTTTTTTTTGGTGGGGGACACTGTCATACAAATTGAATGGGACTTCGAATCACCATGCTGCTTTGCAAAAATGAACAAATGAAAAGGATGGCGGGACCCCGGGGTCCCACCTGGACCCCGGATCTTTCATCACATACCGGTATCAAATTATCAGATGTATTGAAAAATGCATGTGTTAGCTAAAGAAAAAGCAAGTTTTCCTTCCTTTACATGCGAGGACCAGTTTGGGGGCAAAGCAGTACGTTCTTGGTTATCGAAGGCAAGCCTCGGGGAGGCTCATGAGTGAGCCGAGCTGAGGCAGCCCCCAATAATTGCCGAGATGAGTGGGGACGGACTGCTTGCCGGTCTCCATGGACGCCACCCTGAACACTACCGAAGGAACCTTGCACCCAGTCTGACTGGCATCATGTAACTGGGACGTGGAGGCGAAAACCTTCCCAGAGTGACGTCCGGCAGCATTGCGTGGAGGGGAGATTCCGTGAACGACGTTGTGACGGCTTCTGCACCTGGCAGAGCATAGCATAGTGGTGACTCGCGTAAGTATACTGATCAGGTGTGTGGAGATGAGGGCGTGGCCATGGCGTCGTGCCGAATGACCCTCAGATTAGCCGCCACGACCTTGAGCCTCCGCCGTTCCCCTCTCTCTCACTTGACCCGTCGTGTCTGAGCAGGAGCGGAAGGTGGCAGACCCGTTGTGGAGCTTGGTCCCGGGAGCCGTGGTGATGGAGCGACTCTGCGTGGGCGAGAGGCCGTCCGATGGAAGCGCAACCCTGCAGCATGGGCGAGATGCTGGCTGAGACCTCTGCTGGGCCGGTGTAGCTTGGAGAGAGAGGTTCCATTGGGGGCTGAGCGGACTCTACCGACACATTGGATCAAACGTCATACGCAAAGCCACACCGCAAGCCTCGTGGTGAGGCGGTACTTATCTGCGAAGTCTCCTCTGGGAGAAGCCGGTCACGCGTCGGACAGCGGGTGGCGCTCGTGAACTGCCCCTAAGATAGTTGTGAGGGAGCGTCGGCCGCTGGGCGGCGGGTGGCCGTAAAATCTGATGGCGCACGCGGCGTCGTGCCGGTGCTTGGAGTTCCTAGCCGTGCCTGAGTAGCTTGTGGCCGTCGACGCGAGACCACGAATGGCCGGGCAACACCTCCAAGAACGACTGCTATTTCTATCCTACAACAGCCGGGTCAGAACCGTGAGTCGAACCCGGTTGCCAGCTGACCCGCCCGTGACTTGACGGCTTGAGGTTGTTGGCCGAGCGAAGTCTTGACAAACGTGGCCCTCTCCTTCTTCCAGGAAAACTTAATTTCCGTCTTCGCCGGAAATACCGACTCCTTCTCTCCGTCCGCCTACTTCGTTGACGAGCTAAAGAACTGCAGGATAGCTGGCTGGTTAGATTTCAGGCCGACCTTCTTCTTTTTAGTCCGGCCAGGATTCCGCTTCGTTGGGGTTTTAGACGTAGATTTGGCAACCGCCGCGCTAGAAGGTGAAGGTGCGTTCATAATCGTCTCAGGTACATCGGGGTAGTAGTTCAGGTACTCTTAAAAGTACACGTTGTTCTGCTCATTCGTAATGTCTGCAATTACAAAATTCTTGATCATGAGGTTGCTGTTGAAGTAATCTGCTGATGGGCGACAAAGAGCATAGTACGACATCGAAATACCACCTCCATAATCTTCTGCTTGAATTTGAACATGACAGTAGACTCTCTCTGCGGTCGCATCTGCATCACCAGCCATGTCAGTTTCGTCGTCAGCAGCAACGTCGTCGATTGTATGTGGGATAACCTGATCAGGTAAAATCTGCTGAGGCGCATGCAAAGCCGTATAATCTTTGACAAAGTTGTACACGAATCGGCGCTGAGCGATTGCTTCGTTAAGGTGAGTTCTCTTTTCCAGTAGTACAACCTCGCGCTCTTCCTCAGAAATATCGGGCTGCTGAAGCAAAATATCTAGGCGAACGCAGCAGCCACAGACATCCTCCGCTGTTCGTTTTAGACGGACACCAGGAAAGTAGTACCGCTTGTACTGGATGAAGTGGGAGTAACTTAGTGTGCGGGCATCTGGGTTGATTTGGGCGATATCGTCCACATAGCGAGCGTGTACAATCTTCCACGCCAGCTTGGGCTCAGTGAAGTACTGCCGCGGGTGTCGGTGGGCGCACGGAAACCCATCCTCCAATATCCACGTAGCACAATGCGCTTTGAAACGAGCAACATCGTCCTCCGTAAATGCGTGCCAGGGTGTAAGTTTTTCAACTTCCGTCCGCAGCACCTATGCATGTACATAAGCAATCATAGCATTCGCGTGCATCGCGATGATAAGGCACAAATGGGGAAACCAAGCACGTGGTATTTGAGTAAGCTATAGAGGCCGCATTGAGCCACGCCAGGCAGGCGTGAACCCCGGGTCGTGGTGTGGTGGGTTTCTTTGCTTGAGTCGGCTTGATTGGAAATGAATGGCTGGATTCGTGGGCACGTAGACTGCTGCCCAGCTATGCCCATCTTCGACCGTGATCCTCAGACACATCCCGAGCCTAACCAGCCGCTGCTCCTTCCCGAAAATCTGTCTTTGCTCCTTGCAAAGACACCATTTGCGCGCCTTGTGTGCAACGACTCAATTCCAACCTCTAGCACCTTCCTTAGTCTTGCTACGCGACTTCCACCACCGGTATGATCGCTCTAATCACACGTTCCGAGAGTCCTAATTGTAGAAGCTGAAGCACGACACCTTCCGACTACTGCCACTCTTTTCCGCCATAGCTTGTGTCCCATGAGTCCCAGTCCCGACGGATCTGCTGAACTCGCTCCTCCTCCAGGATGGCTACGGCCCGCTTGTACGCTGCTGTCTTCCGATCAGAGGCTTTTTTTTTCTTTTACGTATCGGTCTGAGGCTCTGGGAGCCACCTCTGCCATTTACTTACGAAGCTTAAGTGAAAATGGTAAGACCCTAGGTCGTTTCAACGCTGCCCTTGATAAAAATAAATAATTGCCGATACCGATTATTTTGGATGGGGGACCCCGGGGTCCCGCCAACTGTTTCAAATAACAATTTTGCTAGACGCAGAGAGGGGCAGGACTGCTGCCACTAGACAGCGAATATACGAAGACGTTGCAATCAAAGAAGGAAGGTAGTGCTTATGTGTTGTTCTCTGTTCTGTGCTCCGCGGAGGTTAAACTATGCCAGAAAACAATTGCCATCGGTCGAAAACAACAGTACATGTACAGTATTGTTATTTCCCAAAACAATGTCTCCTGAATGAAGCAAAAGTTTTACTAACGTTAGTAGTATAATACCATATAGGCATCATCTCTTTGTTTTCAAGCTGGGTAAAACACTACAGTGAGTAGAGCTAAGAACCCCAGCAAAGCCTCGTGCTACAGTGCTAGATCCAACGTTTCGAGGTGTTTTAGCGCAGCGACAGGCTCGCAACATTGCACAACTTCCAAACATGTATGAACACACTAGTTCAACCTGTTTGTCGTGAAGCGCCATCACACAGGAGACTTGAGCTCGAAGAATGCAGCGCTTTCCACTCTCTTTCTCTCCATACAGGCCTCAGGATCGACGATACGAGACGCTCTCCCCCTTATTGACGGCTCGCAGTTGGCATCACTGGCTGCTGTGGTCGTGTGACTCGTTCCTGGTCGATACATGACGTACACGACCACCTGAATCCCACCCAGCGCTGCTCCTGCCACGTTCGGTGTCAGTACAAACATGTCGTCGAGGATGGCGCTCGTCCAGACCCATAGAATACCATTCACGAACGCGACGACAGACATTGTGACGGGCATGGACGACGCGTTCTTGGTGCGGACGATTCGCTTGAGCGTCTCGAGGGGTGCGACCTTCAGACAGAGGTTCATGACCACGCACATGTAGCCCAAGATCTTCTCCACTTGGTGCTCTGATTGGTGCGTGACGCCCGCGACGGCGATTGCGGCGTAGATGGACGTGAGGACCATAGCGACGACGGTGACGCCCCACAGCACGTAGAACCTCCGGCGTGAGGTGCACCACCACCAGTAGACGACGCCGAAGACGATGGCCGTCGCTGTCTGGAAGGCGCACACCGAGAAGAGCGGGAAGATGTTGCCAATGAGGTACGAATAGATCATCGTACAGGTCTCAAAGCAATATACGTTAGCTACTGTAAGCGCCTTGAGGGAGTATCTATCGTTCTGCTCACCAAAGGTAGGAGTTGCCGAAGAGCGTAACGACTGGGAAGATGGATACGTCGCCGGCGTCTCGCTGCTTGTGCACGCGGTGGATCTCCGGGTAGGGACTGAGCCCGACTGCGAGCGCCGTAACGAACGTTAAGACGCGCAGAGTGATCAACAGGCCGCCGTCCGCCATGACTGTGACGCCTGCGCTCGACTGAACCAAAGCAATAGTGACGCGGGACCACGGGCAACACGAAAAAAAGGAGCGGGGTAATCCGTGATGAGTGTAATCCGCGTCGCACGGGGGGCATGATCATGAAGGGGGGGGTCTCTTTGTGAACTTTGGTTTCTATTAGTCTATGGTGAGCATATCTGGACGAATGTAGGAGAGGAAGTGTCGTCCAACTTGTCGCTACAGGTTGGCGAGATCGCTGCCGGTTCCATACTTTGAGTGTCTATCGATTTGGTTGCTGTCGTCTTGACAGGGAGCACGTAGTTGTCTGAGAGGGAGGAAGCTTCCGAGAGGCTTGGGGCCGACTTCTGGACGGGCCAGAAGACGACGTACAGAGCCACTTGAGAGAGCCCCACCGCCATGCAGGCTCCGCCGTTGACGTACACGAAGATGTCGTCGATTATGAGCCCGTAGACCGTCCAGATCCCGTTCGCGGTGGCGCCAGCGAGGCACATGCCGACAGGGATGGATGCGCCCGATCGGGTCTTTAGGACGGTCTTGATGGTCTCGAAGGGGCCGACGTATGGGAGCAACGAGGCCAGAGTCACGGTGTAGCCCGGTTACCCCCGCCAGCCCCAGTATCGTGTAGACCGAACCGATAGCAATAGCAACAAAGGCTGCGCCGATGGCTTTTGTTGCATATGAGCGAGCCGCTGTCCACCGAAAGTACACCCCCAGGTAGACCGTTGAGAGGATAGTGCCGAACGCAAACGTCGTGAAGAATGGGAAGTAGTTGGCCGTCGCCACACCGTAGAGCATCCTGCAGCACACAAAGTGCAATTCAGCCGAGCCTATCAGCACAAGTTGAAAGCTGAAGTTGGAAGCGGACGTACGCCATGTGGCAGTTTAACCATAGTCCGACAAGAGGGAAGAGAGCCACGTCGCCAGTGTCGTGGGCCTTGTGGATGTGGTGGATCGCCGGCATGGAGCTCAAAAACATGGCGATGGTACAGCCGGAAGCCAACGCCTTCAGCACTTGCAGCCCCGCACTCATCTTTCTAGATCAGTGGGCTACCCGTCCAGTGGAAAACTGACCGACGCATGGATTGATCGTAGGAATGCAGCAGCCGACAGGGCAGCCTCGCCTACTTTAGCAGCATGACGTGGCTTCGTGGTACCTGCGTCTCAACACGTTGGTAGGAAGCGCACTCGAGCTATAATAGCGTCCACGAACCTCGAGTCGACAATGCGAGAGTAGCCACGTTCTACCGTGTCGTGTCTTCCGGTAGAATATCGACTGGACGGAGAAACGCAACGTTCTTAGAATAAGAGAAGTAGTGTTGGATGGGAGCAAGCTCCGAGTGCGCGGGAATGTGCTCCGAGTGAGCGCTACTGATCCGCTCACTTTTCTCTGCGCGGATCGGTTCATGGCTACATTCGCACTTACGGCAAGTTCGGTCTGTCGAGTCATGTGTGTGTAGTGCGTGTCTCAGCTACGTGTTTTTGATACTATGAGTTTTACTAGGTTTTTTTTTAGTTGAGGTTGGGGTGACGCCCTCCCCCGGAACGCGTGGACGGCGGCAAATGCCGCTCACGGGCTTCCGGCAGGCGCTCTCGGTCGTCTGCAAGTCCCTTGCGAGTCTCTCCCTTTGGCAGCCACCTTCACCAGCAGTACTACCCGTCACAACCCCCCTTCCGTATCGTTCTAACCGCACTGACCGCACTAACCGCCTTAGAATAGGCTCGTTCAATGTGCAGTCCTATACAAGCAGTTTGAAACGCTTCCCCAAGACCTGCGCCGCTACCAGATCGATATCTTTGGCCTCCAAGAGACCAAGCTGTATGAGCTGGGGCGCTTTGAGGTCGGAGACTACTTACTACTAACGTTGCCGGCACAGGAAGAGCGCTACGGAGTTGGATTTGCCATCTCTCCTCGCGTTACTCCTTACCTCCGTCGGTGCTGGGCTCACAGCGACCGTATCGGCATCTAGCAGATGCGGCTACCTAACACAGGACCCATCAACATCGTCACGGCCTACGCTCCACACAGCGGGCGCCCACTAACTGAAGTAGATGCTTTCTACGCAGACCTTCGAGCAGCCATGGACCGATTCCCGCGCGGAGATATCACCATGATTACCGGGGACTTTAACGCAAAACCCGGGCAGAAAACAACCGGAGAAACGTTTCTCCGGCCTCATGCACGAGGCACGCGTAACCGGAACGGCCACCTCATGGCTGCCTTTTGTGATACTTATCAACTCTTTGCTACCAATACAGCCTTTCCCAAGCAAGCGAAAAACAAGACCACCTGGAGCCGATGCAAGCGGCCACACTGTGTCTACAATCAAATCGACTACGTACTCTGCCCTCAAAGTTGTAGACGGTTCTGTCTAAATGCCCAGTCCTGGGGTGGGGCCATCACCCCGTCCGACCCAGACTTTGAGCTCAAGAACATCCGTCGCCTCCGGATTCCGTCGCGTCGCACAAGCGGCACAACTGTTCACCTCGCACACAGCGAGTTAGTTCACAACGACGACTCCAGAACCGCTTACGCATCAGCCGTTAAACGGATCCTACCCGCCGCAGATGCTGACGATGGATCCACTATCAACCTGCAATGGGAGGACACTTTTGCGAAGCTACACGAAGCAGCATCGCAGACCATCGGGTTTTCTTCGCCGGATCAACGACGCTGCCGCAGCTACAACGATCCGCTGCTCGCCGCGCTGTCCGAGCAACAACGACAGCTCCGGCTCCGCATTTACAACGACACATCGGCCAACACAGCGCTGCTGCGCTCTCAGCTAAACAAGATCCTACACCAGATCCGCACTCGCTGCTGTGACCTCGCTAACATGGCCCTCGACGAAAAGGTTTCACGCATCGAGGCTTCAAGCGACTCTCACAAAATGTTCGTTGCCGTCCGCGATCTCGCCCGCAAACCGACACAGCAGCTTCTAATTCAAGACTCATCAGGTAAGTATATACTTCACAGAAACACAGCTAACCAAATTGTCCGAGATCACTTCCAAGAACAGTTTCTAAATCCAGATCAAGCTCAAGTATCGCCAGACCCAGCAGCTCAACCCCTCGACTGCCCAATCACGCCGGACGAAGTCCGTGGTGCCCTCCTTCGACTGAACAACGGTCGTGCTGCTGGCCCCGATGCTATTCCTGGTGAACTACTCAAGTATGCCGCTGCTGACGTTGCTCCACGACTCACACATCTACTAAACCGCAGCTTCGAACGCGGTGAACCCATCCCACTGGGCCAAGGTATTCTGCTGCGTCTCCAGAAGCCGAACAAGCCACGAGGGCAGTGCTCAAGCCTACGCCAGATAGTTCTCCTGAACACTATTCGCAAAGCGGTGTCATTCATCGTTCTCCGCCGCATCACACCCGGGGTCGACAAGTTTCTCTCAGGCCGCAAGAGCCGCAGTACAGCTGACGCGGTGTGGGCCCACAAGTGGCTGTGCGCACGGGTACGAAAGTATCGCGAAATCGTTCATGTACTGGGTATCGACTGCTGCAACATCAAATTCGTGCAAGCATTACTCCGATGATATGCGGCCAGCGAGAGCGACGGACGCACACACGCGGGAAAAACATCTACTGCGCATGCTCATTTCAATCCAGCTGAAAGGACAGGCAACGAGTACGACCGTGGCTTCCAGCCAGCTACAACTACTTCACAGCACCACAGAGGAGACCAAGAGGATAGCCCTACATGTACTCCGAGCTCCTAGCTCTAGTTCCTTCTCATTCTCAGTTTTACCTGCTAATCAACAAACAACTTGAATCTCCTACATCGCCGCGCTCTTTAGTCGACTTCCTAGCCTTCCATCATCGACTTCTCGCGCGCGTTCGACACGATCGACCGTGCCAAACTCCTCAAAGTTCTACGGCAGTTTCTACACGACGACGAAATCCGGCTGATTCGACTCTTACTATCCCACACAACGCTTTCACTCCGCATCGGCCACCAGATCCTGCAACCATTCGGCAGCAACACAGGTACGCCACAGGGCGACTCACTCTCACCAGCATTATTTGTTATCTACCTAGAAGTAGTACTTAGAGTTCAAGCTAGTCACCCTGCAATGCCGCCGGACCTGCTCCAGCCAATGATCGTGTATGCGGACGATGCCGACTTTATCTGTCGGGACCCCGCCCTCGTCGAGCTCATCCAGACCCATGCCCCGTAAGTATTCGCGCGCTGGCTGCTTCAAATGAACGCGGCAAAGACGGAGCACACAATTCTCCGCCGCTGCCTGACACCTGCCAGTGCCGACCCCCACGCTCGTGCAGAGGAAGAAGCATGGAGGTCTACGCGGAAGCTTGGCTCGTTGCTCGGAGATGCCGATGACGTATCGCGTCGGAAAATACTCGCTGCGGCTGCTCTTCGGCGGCTCTGGACGGTCTGGCTGAGATCGCACCGTATCACAGACACGACACGAATTCCCCTCTACAACTGCTACGTACTGCCGATACTACTCTACAACTGCGGGACCTGGGCGCTTATACCAACGGAACTTCACCGACTCGAAAGCTTTCACCATCGCCGGCTACGATCTGTCCTCAATGTGCGTTACCGTACCACATCTCCAACGCTGATCTCTACGCAACGTGTGATGAGCGGCCGCTCCGTCACCGGATCACATCTGCGAGGTGGGGGCTTCTCGGGCACATTCTACGGCGACCACAAGATATCCCGGCGTTTATCCAGATGAAGGCGTATTTCTCTTCCTCCGACAGCAGCAAGTGGAGAGGTAGGCCCCGCACCACACTGCCTCTTGTCCTCGACCAGGACCTTGATGCTAGTGGGTGTGGCTACCGCCTCCGCACCAGCTCAGACTTGGAGAGACTTCGACTGCTTGCCCAAGCCCGACGTAAATGGAAGGCCCTCATGACTACCATTGCTGATTCACTGCCAGCCAAAGGAGATTCGACGTATGAGGACACCACACTATGCCGCCGACGAGACTAGCGCAGGTGTAATTTGGCTACGCGAACACGTAAATCATTGCATTGCATGAATTTTACTATGGGGAGGGAACGCTGCCGATTCCGCGCATTCAGAAATATTTCGGAGCTGCGCGGTACTGCTCGCTGCGCACCGCGCGCTCGGAGCACGAGTGCGCGCTTCCATCACTAAGACAAATTTTACCGTCACTACCGTAAACTACATCATGGAATGGAAATTATGCTATGAAGTGCCATTGAAGTTTCTTACGATATGCAAACGGGCACTAAGGTCGGCGAAGAGATGCTGTCGAGTTTGTCGCCGCATCTCGGAGGGACCAGCGCCACCGCTGGGGGCGCACTAACAGTGGTAGGATTGTCCACCTTCACGGGTAGAATGTACTTCTTGTCCGTCGACACCGAGAGGTCCGCAGCCAAAGCGCTCGGCCCTTTCGTCTTCGGCCTGAAGACCAGGTATAGCGCCACTTGCACAAAGCCCAACGCCGAGCAAGCGGCACTGAGCAGGAGGATGAACATGTCTTTAGTGAACAGCCCCTCGATCGTCCAGATCAAGTTGGAGGACGCCCCCGCCAAGCACATGCCGAATGGGATCGAGGCACCCGAGCGCGTCTTGAGCACCGTCTTGATCGTCTCGAACGGGGCGATGTACAGCAGCAAGCACGCGACTGTCATCATGTTGCCTGCGATGAGTTTGACCTGGTCGCTCGGTTGCCTCGTCACGCCCGTCATCCCCAGCACGACGTACACCGATCCAAGGATATTAGCGATGAGGGTGGCACCAATGGCCTTGTGGGCGTACGCCCGGGCCTTCGTCCACCGCAAGTACACAGCAACATACGCCGTCGAAATGATCGTGCCGAAGACGTAAGTGGCGAACAAGGGGAAGTAGCTTCCCGGAGTCCAGCCGTACAGCATTCTACTTGCAACAAAAAAGCACCGTTCAGTCAAGGTAGAGTGCTAGACGGATGAATGGAGCACGAACGTACACCATGCAGCAGTTCAGCCACAAGCCAACGAGAGGGAAGAGCGCCACGTCGCCCGTGTCGTATCGCTTGTGGATCCGGTAGAGCGACGGAGCCGAGCTCAGGATCATGACCACGGAGCAGCTTGACGCCAGCGCCTTCAGTACCGTCAGCCCTGCATTCATCTTGACTCTTGCTCTGGTCTTTCCCCTTCGTCGGTCGAACGTGCTCCGTCGAGAAATGAACACAAAACAACCTGGCACTCGCGTTGTTGGAGCACACCTCGGATCGGTAGCGCTACATCCTGCAGTGGAGCTGCTCCTACCCCTCGGTACCCGCGCTCCGTTCGCGAGATCTGAGGCCGATCGAGGCACCGCAAAGACCTGCACCAGCAACACGCGAGCCTTTTTTATGCCGGCAGCAGCGATGGATGGCTGCTTGCTCCTCGTCGTATCAAACGTGATTGGAAGTGCTGCGCCGTTTCAAGATCCGTTTCAAAGATCCCGCCTCGTCTATTGTCCGGTGCTTGAAGTGCTTGAAGTGGAACGCTGTGTAGACGAATCGTGCGAGTATTTTTAGGGGGAACGCCCCGGTCAGGCCACAAGTTAAGTTAGTGTGAAACGCAGGGATCCACGCATACCCGAGCAACAACTGGTCTCTAGTACTTTAATGCACTTCAACTGTGGTGCATCTCTGTTGCACCGGGTCAGTAGGCGAGGACGTGGTTGATGAAGGCGAATAGCTATGGTAATAACGTGATCTATTCATTATCACTTGAGATTCTACACTACGTTTTGTGGTGGCATTGCAGTACTTGCGTCTTACGGCGACTGGACGGCAATAAAGACGGGCGAGGGGAGAGCCTTGGGCGAGGCCGTCACGGGGAGAACGAACTTCTTGTCGGGCTGTGTCTGCTCGAGCTCAACTGCAGCGTCTACGCCGACCTGCGGGCGGCCTGGACGGTAGATGAGGTAGAGCACCACCTGCACCAGCCCCAATACTGCGCACACGGTTCCGAGCAGGAAGATGAAGATGTCGCTCGTGAGCAGTCCGTTGAGCATCCAGAGGATGTTGGACGTCGCGCCGGCGAGGCACATGCCGAAGGGGATCGACGCGCCAGAGCGAGTCTTGAGCACCGTCTTGATCGTCTCGAACGGCGAGATGTAGAGCAGAACGCTGCCGATGGCCATCATATAGCCCGTGACGTTGCCGACCTGGTCGCTGGACTGGCCGGTTACCCCCGTCATCCCTAGAATCGTGTACGCCGCAGTGAGCACGACGATGAGGAAGGAGATGCCGATGGCCTTCAGAGCGTACGACCGCTGTTTGGTCCATCGGAAGTACACGCTGATGTACAGGACCGACATGATGTCGCCAAAGAGATACGTGGCGAAGAGCGGGAAGTAGTCTGCGGTTGCCAAGCCATACAACATACTGCTCATGCGTTAGTTTTGATGAACAAGAGCAAGACAGTGGGCAGGTAAAACAACTTACAGCACGTGGCAATTGATCCAGAGCCCCACGAGTGGGAAGAGCGCGACTTCCCCGACGTCTTCAAGCTTGTGGATACTGTACATGGCGGGCACGGAGCTCAGGATCATGGCGACCGAGCAGAGCGACGCCAGCACCTGGATGATCGTAAGCCCGACGCTCATCGCGCTTGTTGCTTGCTACTGTTTAGAGTGGGCTGGTCGAGTCCAATTCCGAAATGAGCGAGAGTGCCGCTCGATTCCTTGCAGTTGCGTGGAGCTTGTCTCTTTGGGTCTGCAGTGCCACTCCCGCATGCTCCGCTGACGTGCCTCGGCCTCTTGTGAGTCCGAGCAAAAAGCTGGTGGCGATGAGGCTGGAGCGCGGCTCGGCGTCGTATCAAGCGTTTGGAAGTGCGTCGAGAGGCGATTGCCCGGGACACGAGACCATACTGCTTGGCGCGTGTGTAGCGCCTTCTCCGCCACGTCTATTGTGCACATCTGCCGACTTGATGCTGCTGCTTCAGTTTTGCGCTCAACGAGTGGCTGCGGGGCTGCGACGTGCGAGGGATCTTCAGCTTTGCCGGCGCGAAGGCTCGCGGCGCATCCCCATTCCAGAAGCTGAAGCTCCCAAGCCTGTCACCCGGGGGTTGAGAGCCCATCCGACGCAAGTGTCCTCGGTGTGTCCGCCTCAATTTGGACGTCAAGGATCCTTGAAGGATCCTTGAAGGATCGGAGCACACGAAACGATGATGGATACGGCATCTATTACTTTACTTTAGGTATTGCTATCAGGCGTCTATAAGTTTTGTTCGATGGGGGGCTCATGGCGAGCAGATAGCGATGAAGTTGGGCGACGGCAGGCTCTCGACGGTCGTGTCGCTTTTGACAGTCAGCGTTGCCGTGACGGGGAGAACGCAGTCGATGATCGGCGTGCCAACGGGCGTCGGGTATCGGCCTGGTCTGTAGATGAGGTACAGCGCAACTTGGATGAAGCCCATGAGCGAGCACGCCGCACTCAGGATGAGCATGAAAATGTCGTTGTCGAGGTAGCCCTCGAGCACCCAAAGCGCGTTCGAAATGGCTCCGGCGAGGCACATGCCCAGCGGAATGGACGCGCCCGAGCGCGTCTTGACCACCGTCTTGATGGTCTCAAGTGGTGCGACGTACGGCAGCAAACAGCCCACAGTCATCATGTAGCCCACCGTATCGCCCACTTGGTCGGTCGTCTGGCCAGTCACGCCCGTCATGCCGAGCACGGCGTAGGTCGTTAGCAGCACGATGATGACGATGTTGGCGGCGATGGTCTTGATGGCGTAGGAGCGCGCCTTGGTCCATCGGAAGAAGACGCTCACGTAGACGATGGAGGTCAGCTCGCCGAAGGAGTAGATGGCCAAGAGAGGGAAGTACGAGCCCGTGGCCCAGCCGTATAAAGTCACGAGGTGGCAGCTGAGCCAGAGGCCGACGAGCGGGAAGAGCGCCACGACACCGGTGCCGTGGTTCTTGTGGATTCGGTAGACGGACGGCACGGAGCTGAGGATCATGGCCATCGTGCAGGACGACGCCATGGCTTGGAGGACGGTCAATCCGACGCTCATCTTGGACCACGAGGTGCTGTGTAGTGTAGTATCAAGGTCGGTTGTTGGGATCCGATTTGGGAATGGCTCGACCTGCTCGCCTCCAACGAGGGGTGGGGTGGGGTGGGGGGGGGGGCGTGCACTCCTTGTGCTTCGCTATTCTAACCCTGGGCCGGCCGAGTCCGTGGCCATCCGTGAATCCATCGACCGGAGTCGAGTTGCGCTCTGGACGGCGCGCCGCACTCGACCAAAGACAAGTTTGGCACGCACTTGCGGGCCTCATTCCCCGTGATAGGAAGCGAGTCATGTCGTTTCGTGTGCAATGCTCGACTCGTCTATATGCGACGAGACGCGCGCCATTGAAACCCTCAGAGCGAGCGTACACCGGAAAATTTGCCCCTCTCGACGGCAGCAGTAGACGAATCTCTACGTACCCCCCCCGGCCAGACCCCTCGCTTGCTGTCTGCGAAGTGTCACGATATATCTCGTGGTTGTCCGCGCCCCAGCGCCAGAACCACGTAACGCCGCAGTTCATATCCCTGCTTCAAGCTACACGTCTATCGACCGGCACAGCAGCACAATCTCACAAGTGCGGACAGACTTCATTCATCATTTTGCAAGGGAGGCGGGAACATGGTAAGCCTTTAGACGACTACAGACTGCTTGCCGGCCTTAGTTGACGACGCTGCGCACTGGTTCACGACGGGGTTCTCGAACAGCGTAAGCTCCGAGGACGCGCTGGTCGAGTTGCACGTCGTGATGAAGTCCCCCACCTCGGCCTTGCGGGCCTCCATGTACTGCACGAACTCGGCGATGGGGCATGTGAGCCCAGGTCCGCTCTGGCAGCCAGGCAGAGGGACCACCTCCTCGTTGATGCTGAAGCGGATGAAGCTCTCTCCGGCGCACGTGATCCGCTCCGTAACAAGGCGCGCGCCCATCGTGACAACGCGCGAAGAGCGGAAGTTGCGCGTGGCGTTGATCGCGTTCGTCGGGTAGCTCTCGTCGTAGTTGAGCCCGAAGCCCGAGTACATGGCGTTGAGCTACGTGTCCTGGCTGAAGGCGACGAAGATCTTCTGGCAGGACGTCGTCTCCGTCTCGTTCAGGAGCTTCGTGACCGCCTCGGAGTACGGGTATCCGACAGTAGGCGCGAGCGCTGCGCCGTAGCCCGAGCCGTAGTAGTAGCCCAAGTCCTTGTGGTACGCGTAGTGCTTCCACTCGTCGTCCGTGAAGATCTGGCAGAACTCGAGGTGGTCCTTGCCCAGGTAGTTGCACTGATACATGCACAAGTCCATGACCGTGAGCGTCACGCCCGCCGAGAACCCGAAGCCAGGCCAGAGCGACTCGTCAAGGCGTCCTGCCAGCCTGACGCCTGCGCGAACGCCGTCTGCCCCGAGCTCTCGTCGCCCTTAAAGCTGGGGCACGTGTCGATCGGCGTGAGCGTGTTGGCGCCCAGCGTCGTGTCCGTGGTGCTCACCTGCACCAGCAAGTCCGCGTCCCAGTCTTGGCCGTGGAATCCGTTCATGAAGTTCTGCGCAGTGCGGACCACGCGCTCCTTGGCGTTCGTCCACACGGTCTCCTTGGCCGTGTACAAGCCCGCGTACTTGCTGCGGAACGTCGAGCCGACGTCGTGGGCCTCCTGCAGTCCCAACGTTGTGATATTGTCCACCATGACGGCTGGATTCGGGATCAACTCCGAGAGGTTCCACGTCTTGAGGAACTTGAGCTCGTTGGCCATCGAGTCGGACATGTTGGGTCAGCTCAAGTACTCGGTGACCGTCTCCGCGAAGCTCTTGATGGCGCTGTAGCTGCCGGACGAAGGGTAGCGCGTTCCGTGGCGCATTAGCTGCAGTGATACAACACAATGAGTAAGAAGCCAGCAATACTCTGCAGTCTTGAGGTAGCTAGAGCGGACCAAGTGCACTTGGTCCACGACGCAGCTGTCATCAAGCACGACTTGCTCGGCCGTGAGGTCGGTCGCAGCTTGATGGTAGAAGTTGAGCTGACTCGTGTGGTCCGTCAGGTCGAAGCCCTCGCTGTAGGCTCGAGCGCCTTGAGTCGACAGCAGTGCGAGCGCCGACGCAGACAAGAGAGAAGAGATGGCCTTCATGCTCAATGGCTTCGACGTTGGGCTCGCTTGGCGAATTGAGAAGTGAGCTCCTGGGCTTGGAAACCTTGAACACGTCCGTCCATCGAGACGGCCTTGACCGCTCGAGATTTCACGCCGTCTTGCGTCCGAATCTCACGAGCGCCATATGGCTATCACAAGCCAACTAGCGCTCTGGGCGCCCGCTACGCGGACGCTAGGGCTTGGTTTGTTAGACTGAAGAATCTCGTTGGCTTGAATCTCTTCTCCTCCAATAGTGATCGTGGTCATATCCGAGCCCTTGTACACGTACTTGTAGATGTACTTGACAGCCCTGTTTGTCGAACAGACTTCGACGTTGATGTGGCAATTATATTTCTGCGAAATGGGTTGTATGGCACAATCCATTGGTTGATCGTCGCACTGTCCCACACTTTACCTTTGTGGACCACAAACCCATCGGAACGCCGTTTCCGACGGTATCCAGGAGTCTTATCCTGGACCATAGTCGTTACCTCGGTAAGAGGCTTGGGGAACTTCTTAGAGCACCTACCGTTCTTCATGCAGGGGCAGTTCGGATTCTGTCTTCCACATGGCACTTGTAACGGGGTTACATGGAATAGTGACTCTGTCACTATTCAGGGATGGCTACATCGGTCACTCCCCTGGATAGTGACCCAAGTGGCCTCAGAGCCAACAGATACATTTTGTATGACACAAACTATAGGGAACTTAGGATTTGTATGCAGGCCAAATCTGTACCAACCTATAAATACATTCAGTCTTAGATCTACCGCTTTCAAGTCAAGTCGTCCCCTTCAGACCAGGGACACGTGAACGGCTGTTCATTTGGAGTTTGTATACTCCTGCTCCCTCTGTTAAGAAGTGCTGTGTGCCCCGTCACACTTGGTATCACTTGTAGTCAATCCTACGCCTACGCGGGTAGATTGGACTACCTGAATCCTCTGTGGTCTCATCGAGTGAGCCAAGATGGATCGTACGGAGTTTCCCCATCTGAACGACTCGCAGTACGAGTCCGTTCGTAAGATGGCAGGCATCTTTGGGACAGATGCCCTGCGTAGCTTAGCGGCGGCGACGCCGGCTGAGCAGGTTGAGCGTATCAACGCGTTCGACACCTACGAGCGAGGGCTCATCGCCCACGTTCAAGGGCTGCAGGCCACTGCGGCCGCGCCGAAGCCGGTGCAACCGAAGCCCCTGCGGCTGAAGGTTCACCCCTTCGAAGGGAAGGAAGGAGAAAACCTTCACTTCTGGGTTCGAGAGGTTGAGCTCGCGATGGACGCGGCTCTCGTCTCGGACGAGTGACTCCGTGTCGCCTTTGCGCTCTCCAACCTTAGTGGTCGCGCAAGAGTTGGGCATATACGCGCGAAGCGACGACGCCTGGATGCTTCGCATCATGGTCCCAGCTGTGCGAGCAGCTGCGGGCCGCGTTTCTTCCGGCGAACTACGAGTACCGCCAGCGTTCGCGCTTCCTCCCCTGCAAACAAGGAAGGCGCGAGCTGCATGAGTACATCCAGGAGATGCAAGTGCTCACTGCCTCTTTGGTGGGGAACCCCCTGCCTGAACACATCAAGGTGACCGTGTTCATGGACGGTCTGCGTGTCGGTCCTGCCCGCACGCAACTGTTCCGTGTGCAAGCAAACACTATGGAGGAGGCGATTCAGATCGCCCTCCAGGAGGTGTACAGCCACAAGCAGGCTCGTACCCCGCCACGGTATGGCAGAGCAACCCTGCCTCTGGCGGTGCGCCTAATGGTAACTCCGGCAATGGAGCGATCAACGGGCCGGTTCCCATGGATCTGGGCATGGCCGAGTAGCGCGACATTCGCCGCTACGGCTGTGGCAAGCTTCGGCACATGAAACGTGCTTGTCCCGCGGGAGGACTGAGAAGAAGTTCTCTTCGAAGCCCTTTGGCTCTAGGGGTCACTGGCAGAAGCCGCGCCCCAGGAACCAGGGGAACGCCGGACACCAGTAGGGGCGGGGCGCCCTACAGGGGAAACACTAAGTCTTCATGAGGGGTGTGCGGGTGGCGCACGCCATGGGGACTTAGGCCACGAGAGTCTCTGTACTCTCGAAGCGGAGAAGGGCAGCGGTGGGCTGCTTGTGGTGCACGCGAGTGTACCGGGATACGATCATCCCTTGAGAATCTTGATCGACTCTGGGGCGTCCAAGAACTTTGCGCGCCGCCAGACTGTCGCACGCAATCGCGACAAGTACGCCGATGCGCTACGAGGCAGCAAAGGCAACGAGCTGGTCTCGGTAAGACTGGCGGATGGTACGGTGGTAGAAGTACCTCGGGTCCACATGGACCTCACTGTCAAGTTCGAGGACTTCGACAGCACGGAGCCGCTCTTGGTCCTAGACATCGACAAGTACGACTTGATCCTGGGCATGCCGTGGCTGGAAAAACACGAGCCTTGGATCGACTGGCGCGGCAAGGCCATCGGGGCCAGCCGTCCCCCACGCTCTGACAGAGCTTTGGTGAGTCATGTTCCCACCTCTGGCAGCAGCTGGGGCACCCGCGAGGGCCGCCAGGGCGCAGCAGCGTCTAATGAGTTCTTGGGGTCCGTCGAGACTGACGACGACTCAGACCGGGCCGGACAAGGCCTGAGATTGGAGGTGCCGGACAGCACCTACCAGGTGGGTAACGTAGGTCCACACGCGGGTAACGAAGTACCGCAGGCAGCAAGGGCTGCTGGAGAAGGCGCCGCTGGCGTTGGCGTGGGTAACCAAGTTCCACGCGAGGTCACTCAGACCGTAACTGATGAGGAAGGCACTGCAGGCGCTTCCGATGTGGGTAACATAGTTCCACAGGAGGTCACTCAGACCATAACTGATGCGGGAGTCGCTGGAAGCGCTCCTGGTGTGGGTAACCAAGTTCCAGACGGCGAGGTGGGTAACATAGTTCCACCCAGCAAGGCGGGTAACCAAGTTCCGCTCAAGGACAAGGCGGGTAACGTAGTCCCGCACGAGATCGAGAAGATCGGTGGTGCCGTCAAGACGGCGCCACGAGACGAAGACACCCGAGGGTCACGTCGTAAGCCGGGCCTAGTCGTGTGGCCGACGACGCCAGTCGCCAGCGACTCCGACCCTCCAGCCAAGGCTCCAGCCGCCGAAGAGTGTTATCACATCTTCGACGGCGTGACCGGTCGTCGGGTCAAGACAGGAGCTGTCGAGCTTACAGCTCTGCTCGAGGATTCAGAGTTGCTGAAACTTGAGGAGCTCGCCATGGAGGACTTCTTGGCCGAGCTAAAGGCCGGGGAGATCGCAGAGTTGGTTCTCCTCCGACCGGAGTCCACGTCGGCCGAGTTGAACTCGTCCTCGGTCATGGACCAGGCAGTCCTGGAGGAGTTCCAGAGACAGCGCGCGTCGCGCATGGGCTCTGAGATTTTTAAGAACCCCCGGGACCCGGTGTACCCCTTGGTGAAGGAGTTCGAGGACGTGGTGTCCAAGGATCCACCGTCCAATCTCCCTCCGGACAGGGGAATCAGGCACGAGATCGATCTCGTGCCGGGCACGAAGTACTGCGACACGAGGCAATGGCCTCTTCCCCGGGAGCAGTGTGAAGTCATTGATGCCTTCTTTGCCGCCAAGGCGAAGACAGGCATGGTGCGGGAGTCGAAGTCCCCGCACTCGACGCCTACCTTCTGTGTTCGCAAACCGAACGGAAAGTGGCGTCTGGTTCATGCTTATATCAAGCTGAACAGCGCGACAGTGCCTGCGCAGACACCGATCCCGCGCAAGGACGTGTTGCTCAACAACATGGCCGGCTGCACGCTGTATAGCGCGCTGGACCTGGTGGACGGATACTACCAGATCCTGATGCGCGAGAGCGACATCCCACTCACGGCTGTGAGCACGCCGAGCGGTATGCTCTGGGAGTGGCTGGTCATGCCTCAGGGGCTTTCTAACGCCCCGGCAACGTTCAATCGCTTGGTCACATAACTGTTCCGACCTTTGCGTGCGTTCACACAGACGTACTTTGACGACATCTTCGTCCACAGCCGTGCCGAAGCAGGCCAGACGGACATGGAGGTGCATCTCCAGCACCTTCGACGTGTGTTCGAAGTCATGCGGGCGAACAAGCTGTACGCCAACATCGACAAGTGTGTGTTCGCAGCTGAGGAGATCAAGGTCCTGGGCTGCTTCGTCAGCATCGCCGGGGTCCGGGCGGACCCGCAGAAGGTGAAACCCATCGCGGCTTGGCCGCCACCTCGGTCGCAGAAGGACCTACGACAGTTGTTGGGCCTCGCCAACTACCTGCACAAGTATAGTGCAGGCTACGCCGAGCTGGCACGGCCCTTGCCGGATCTCCTGAAGAAGGATGTCGACTGGCGCTGGGAGCGTCGCCATCAAGATGCTTTTATCGACATCAAAGCGAGCTTACAGCGCGCGCCAGTCCTGGCATTGCCGGACGAGACGAAGCCTTTCAGCGTAGTCTGTGATGCGTCTGACTACGCAATTGGCTGTGCGCTATTGCAGGCCGACGATGAAGGCCGCGAACGGGTCATCTCGTTCCAGTGCAGGCAGCCGAACGGAACTATCCAGTACACGACAAGGAGCTACTTGCCATGAAGTACGCTCTTGTCAAGTTCCGAGTGCACCTCCTGGGCTCGACGCCCTTTGTCGTTTATACAGACCACGCGTCCTTGCGGACTGCTGTCAACACGCCGCATCTCTCACAGCGGATGGCGCGTCGGCTGTCATTCTTCGCGGAATACAACTTCCGTGTCGAGTACAAGCCGGGCAAGTTGAACGTGCTTGCCGACGCGCTGTCGCGCCGACCCGACTACGAGCTTGCTCATATTAGTCGGGTCACGACGGATCTGTATGATCGCATCAGGCTGGGGTACCGAGACGATGCCAGTCTCGGAGCTCTTGTGCGGTTCTTGGCCGCTGGCTCGGAAGCCAAGGCCGAGTGGCTCACGCCCCGACAACGTGCAAGGCTGCACCGCTATGAGTGGGCTGACGGTTTGCTCCACTATAGGGTCGAGCCCGATGATCCTC